TTTACGTCGCAAGAGCAAGCTTTAAACAGACATGACCCGAATATAATTTTTTCATGAAAATTTTGGTTATCTCTTATCTTGTGCTGTAGAAGTTTCGTATACGTGGCACATTACAAACGTCAACTGTCTTATTACGAAGGTGGTAGAGTCGGGACTTGAACGGCCGTAGAAAAGAGAGTACAACGGTTCACGGTGTGTACAACGCGGTATCCATAATAATGGTGATGTTCGCGGAAGTAGAAGGCACGTACCGTTTCTGTCATGCACATATCTTGTTGCCACTAAACTCGGGACTTGACTAAATTCGCTTAAATTTTTATACAAACACTATTACAGCACATATTTATATAGGTAACAAATAACGGTTATATTATTTGACGCGCTAATTTCTTGTTTTACCTGTATTTTGAAGAAGCTAGTGTCTTCGTATTGACATTTCTATCATTGATTAAGTACTAAGTACAAAAAAGTATTACACGATAAAGCAATTTTAAAGAATTATAGTTGCAAACTTTTGTGTATGCCATGCATTAGTGTGCGTGTGGGCGTGTATCTGTGTCTTATCCTATTAATATTATCTGAATACGGTCGTTTTAATAAGTGTTATTTTTACACAGTTTTTGTACTTTATCACAAGATCAACAATGATTTGTCTACAGTCAAAACACCATGTGGTGTATTCACAAGATTGGGCCTTACTTACTAAATAATATAAATTGAAAAACGCCATTGCCATGCCATTATTACGTTGACATCGGCAGAATCAACATGGACTGCTATGAATAGAATAAATGTGGGCAACAAATTTGTACTATATCCGAAAAATATTATTATAATAGTTCAGAATCCAAGTAGTTATGTTTCCTAAAATACAATCGAACAGTTCGTAAATGTTTTTATTCATACACGTTTGTTTCATTTGACGCAATAATCTTTAAGTATGTAAATACTTAAGTTCTTTAAACGATGTTGACGTATGTTTGTTTAAATTGAACATATCTGTGACACAGTCTGTCAATCTAAAATCTAATTTATTCGTCTTTTTCAAATCATTATTTCTTCGTTTATAATAAGCTTTTTTAATTAGATCAAGATCACAATTTGAATTTCCCCTCGTAAGTATCACGTGTTAATTTCATATTTCCGACAATCTTCTAATCTAGTATGATATCAATTTTATCTAATCTCTTTCCGATAATTATGAATGTTGTTGCAAAATATGATAGTCACTCTTATGTTTGTTACGTTGTTTATAAACACTAGTCGTTTTTAAGTTCTATGTTTTAGTATCTTTATGATAGCAGCTAATAGCTATTTCATTGATATTTGTCATTAGCCTCTCTCGCACGGGCACATTGTCAATTTGACGTCATAGTACAAAAATGCAGTAGCGAGTGCACGGCCGGGGGCGGGGGCGCACGCGCAGGCCGTCATCATCATCATCGACGCGATTGTTTACCCCGCGCTAGTAACGTAACCGAGCGCTGTTGCCATATCGCGCTCTCCTCCTCTCACTTTCGCGGTTAGCTCTGTCCCGCTCGCCGTTATTACGCCCGTCCCGCTCATTCGACTAGCGGTGCTCGACTTTTTTGGTCATGCAGTTTTTTCCGTTCTCGGTTATGATAGTTTTACGGTTATAGTTGTTCATCGGCATACCGTAAATTTATGAACTTAAAAGTAAAATTTGTTGTCATAATATATTCACAGTATTCCGTAAATGTTATCAGATAATTTATACAAATATAGATAGACGTTCGGTATTTTATGTTGCAGAAATTTTGAACATTTCTACAAATAACCAAATATGGCAATACAAAAGACATCAACGCAAGGACGCGTTGATGCTTTGCAAATTTATCTGTAAAATAAGTATAATTGATCCCCTTTTTTAAGCTTCTAAAGCTGATTGCATAATTTTAATGACATGATGTGCTGTTGGGATTAAGTAATATCATAATTAAATAGAATGCTTATTAAATATGAAATAGCGTACTGAACAAGATATCGATATATTTTTCTACGTTAATAGCGCTTTGAAAGGCTGCAAGTGATGTAACTCCACTTTTAACGCCGCTTACGGGTGGATTTTCCGGAGAAGCTCGGCTTTCGTTGGCTTCATCCGGGTATAATCACGCGGCCGCCCGTCCGACCGTCGCCTGTTTGTTCTGCATTTAAAATTCAAATAACTCTGGGTCGTCTTCAGTTAGTTTATCTTTGCCGTATGAAAACAATGTTTAGAATCAAAATCTAGTTTGATCAATTCAATGTAACTGAATGTTTATCAATTCCTCGTGTTGTTTATTCGGTAGCAGTGTTAATATGGCCGAATAATATTTGCTTTATTCATGATTCGGTGAAAGTTTCAGATGGATTTTTACATTGCATACATGATGTTAAAACAAAATTTGCTCTAATAAAACTGTTACATCCAAAGCCGGGCACGTTACACAATAGAAAGTGAAGCGGGCTTCGCGGGCGCATCGTCGGCGCTAGAAAGCGGCCGGGCCCGTCGCGGCCGAACGTTCACGACATCGCACCGGCCATGGCGCATTCTTTCACATGTACTCAGTGCAACACGTCCACGAGTACACTTATTACAATCGTATCACGTCGTGGTAAAATACAAAAGCGGATAGGGCACACTTAAAATATCATTGCAAATACGTACAAGCCGCAATGTTTAAATGTTAAAGTGTCTTACGAGATCGACTGTACAAGATCTCGCTCCGCATATCCGGTTGGCATAGATTTGTTATTTCCTAATTTTGAAGTCTACAATATAATACTCAAGGCGTAACGAATTAACAATGAACGTAAGAAATATTCACTTTTGATTTCAATCAATTAACAAAATATTATAAATACTATCACTATTTTGTAATTTAATGCAACTATAATACACTGTCGTCATAGTAACATTGTAGGAGTCGATAAAAATTACAACATTTTTTTTTACAATCGCTTCGTGATACCATTTCAGTTACACCACTATCGTTGCATGTATCGAACGCTTAATTATCTCATATGTTAGTAGTAATACCCCCCACTTTGGTTAGCAATAAACTGGTTGGTAATCATGTCGGCCTCCCCCTTATCGATGGGTGTCGCGACCCCCGCCGCAGCCAGGTGCGTTAGCCACCGAGACCCCTTCCGTTGCGTGATAACCTTGCTGAAAAGAGGCCGAGCATCTTTGCGCGACACCCCTTGAAATATTAATCGGCCACAGTTTTGTAGTTCAATATTTGTTTATGAGGAAGATAAATTCGATCTTTTCGTATTTAGAAAGCTTTTATTACTTTAAATTTTTGGCTCTCAGAATTTAGTTCAATGTTACTCTGTATATTTCTGTTAGTTATTAGCAAATAAGTAATTCGTTAGTTCTTTTGTATATCTGTCGTGTTCTGTTAATATCAGGGTTCGCTGATATGTATCAATCGATATCTATAATATTTATTATTGAGTATTTGTGTCTCAGCTCGAAAATTAATTAACCCGATGTGACGCTGGCAACTTTGGTCCAAACTAGCAAACTACTTAATAGTCGGGTAAGATTGCTACTTCGGGCTTTCCCCGTAATATGATCGCGAAAAAATAAATAAACAAATATGAAATAAAATCAAACTCATTCTTTATTTTACACTTTTGATTTAGAAGATCATATATTAAATATTGCCTTATAGCATTTTAAAAATCGCAGCTTTTTATATACATGATATACATATATCCGATAAATATCTGAAAAATATGAAATAACGAATATTATGATATTCATTATTACAAATATCGGATTTTTGCGAACCCTGGTTAATTCAATACCTGAGATTGGTATTGGCATTTTATTATTCATACACATCGGTTCTCTTCCTGGTTATCAACAACTTAAATGTAATATTTATCAACGAAATCCTCAGTGCACCTGACTGACTCGCTTATGACCGGTATTTCTTTATAATGTCTGTTTTTTATTGAAATGAAAAGTATTTCTTAAACTTTTTCTACTATAATGCCATGGAAAAAATATAAAGGACCCGTTGCAGTATTTGCATACACAATATGTGTGAATAGCGATGACGCTGCGTACACCTGCGAATAAACGGACGGTGCATTGTTCTTCAATAAAATATTTGCAAACGTTAAGAGTTTCGATTTGATCGTTTGCTAGGGAAAATACATTTTATATGTGAGTCAGAAGTGGGCATTCATATAAGCATCATCAAATGTAACTTCACAGAAATATGTGTGTAGTAATTTATCAAGTGGTATATAAATAATTGTTGTGCGTTGGTTACCGGGTGTACGTACATCCTCTCGGCTGGTGTGTAGCACCTCCGCTGCACCTTTGTGTACCTTTCCTGGGTCGCTGCCAATTCCTCTTTTAGAACAGTTCGAGGTCTCTTTATGCCTATAGACGATTCATCCTTTGTCGAATGGTTTTGATGATGTCAAGTCTCTTCCCTGATTTAAATATGATTTACGATATATGAACGAAGAAAGAATTATTTTATTAAATCAATATACATCTTATGAATGTGAAAGTACCTTTGTTTGGATGTTTGTCCGTCAAAACAAAACTACTAAACGGATTTTAATGAAATTTGGTATAAATATAGGATATTAGATGACTTAGATAATAGGATAGGACTTTTTACCCCACTTAACAGTTGCCTAGGCACCACGCGGGCGAAGCCGCTGGCGGAATAGTCTTGAATATTTGTCTACTTATACGTCTGTTCGCGAAATGTTAATGTTAACGTTGTCATTTGGACTGGTTGAAATCAAGTTATTCTCTTTAAGTCTTTATGGTCTCCAAATAATCTATAATTTCAAGATTACATACTACTACCTCATAACATACACTCAAAGAACCTATGATAGTTGTTTTGAACTTATACGTCTTGTCGCCAGAGCCTGATTAATGTTTACATTACTTTGCCTCTTTGTATGCTAAAGACGAAAAGTGACAGAATAATAAAATCATAATCCTTTGATCGTTGTTTCAGACGGAACTTTACGGCATAAAATGGCGTAAGCTCGTCTGGGGAGAGTCGAGCGGCGAGGGCGGCGAGGAGGGCACGGCACTAACGGACCCTGTGATCAGCAGCTACGCGCGCTGCCTCGCCGGCGACATCCTGTGCGTGTGGCGGCGCGTGCCGGCGCCCCAGCCGCCGCCGGACCTCTATGAGGTGCAGGCGCCCGCGCCGCCGCCGCCGCTCTCGCTGCGCGCCGCCAAGGAGCTCTGGATATTCTGGTACGGCGAGGAGCCGGACCTGAACGGACTCGTCGCACCTGAACTCATCGCGAGCCGTGAGTACATTCATTTATTTATATTTTTAAATGACGGTTTCAGATTCATGTAATATAAAATACCTTTGGCCATGTTTCACCTTGAAACATGTATTTTGGTGATATTGCAAATAACTGACCTGACTGTAATTATTCTGACTGAATCAAGATTAAACTAATAATTCCATAAAAAGTACTTTTGATTTCGACGCGTATAAGGAAATTTATAATATAAGAAACGCTTATAAATATGTATATGGCAGGTCTATATTTGTTATTAAGTAATAATATACTCGTATATATCTCTTAAGCTGATAGTCGAGAAATAATCTTGTTTATTCTAGAACCAGTGTTATTCCAATCGGGCCACGACTATTACGTAAATCGAAAGTGAGCGATACTTTATTTTGAATTAAAAACGATGTGCTCATAATGCTAGAGAAAAACTTTTTGTAAACACATATAATATTATTGGTCCTGTTACTATGGCCTTTGACAAAGGGAGTTCCGGGACATTTGGTTCATTCTTCTAGAAAGGTGGGGGGGGTGATTATTTTCAAAAACCGGGAAATAACTGATCTTCAATAAAAAAAATGCGCGGTTGAGATGTTTACCGTGGAGGTTGCACATGAGAAGTGTGGGCGGTGCGACTTCAAAGTACTGCAAACGGCCGGGCGGGCGGTCGGGCGGTCGGCCCTTTCCCACGCGATGAGAATTATTCCCTGTACGTGCAAATATACACCTCCCGGTGTTGCTTCCATAGATATATTGATTCACACCTTTGCTTCGAACACGGTGATACTCATTCCTTTTCTTATTTACTTCACTTGATTGAATGACAACAAATATTTCTTTAAGAATATTTCTCTGTCCGTGTCTTCATTATGTCTTAGTAAATATATCAATTGCTTTTATTAAAGAGACCATCTTGGTTTTAATGTTTAGTTATTTTACACATATTCTAAGCTATGTCCAAGATTGTTAAACATAAGTTCTAGAATTAAATTGAGTCTCATAATACTTACTTTTTATGTTGATATAACTTCATGAATTCATATTTTAGTGCAACCACTTGCATATTAATAAAATGTAATCAGAGTGGACCAGTTTCAAACGAGCTGTGACCCTAGTTTAAACTAGGAGGCAATTATTAAATGCGATGAAAGCAGAATGTGATGGTTACAAGCGGAAATAAAATGGTTATAAATTATACACTACGTAAGACTTTTTTGTAAATCTTTATATTTTCGCAAATGTTTTCTCCTCAATGTAAATCTAAAAAATTGTCGTCTATAATCGGGTATACTAAACTAGTTGGTACATTTGGCTATTCACCTGAATGCTGGCACTAGCGGCAGGTCGCTCGGTGGGCGGCACCACCCCCGTGTCATCGTCCTCTCGAGAGCGCTGCGCCCCATGTTCTCAGCCGCCACACTTTCTGTTCCATCCTCCATCAACATACATTACTAGTTTACAGTTGTGCAACGGGATATTGCACAACTGTAAACGGGGTTGAAAAGGAATTTATAAGTAGTAGGTCGTGGTTATTCGAAAAAACTTTCTTAGCTTTTCACGAGTAGATTAAAAATATTAGAAATTAAAAATAATAGGATTATGCGAAAGTTCACAAGGTACGGTCATAAGATCGGTGTTCATGTTATCTGCAGTTCGTCCGCGCTGTGGAAAGCACTTTAAGCCATTGGCTGCGAAACACTTCTGTCGATATCCTAATTTATACGTACAGATCAAAATCAATCATGATTTGATAATTTTGACCGGTACGTTCTTCTTAGTCTAGTAAAAATTAAAAAGGGCACGTAAAAAAAAGTTCTTTTATATAAGATATCACTGCTCGAAATAAAAGTAAAAGTATTTATTTTTCCAAGAAAAGTAATACACATTCCCCTTAGTGTATCTATCAACAGGTGGTCGAGAACTACCCACTAAGTCACCCACCCACTTTACGACTTTTATTGCACCGATTAGACGGCACTGCCTCTCTGTTAGCATCGCGATTTTTACAGACTACAGTCTAAGTTTAAACTTTTACGTTCATGCATTAGTATTAAAAAAAAAAAAACTAAATCGTGCGTTTTGATGTGAACTTTGAAAGAGGTCTACAAGGTTTATTATTATTTTGGTGTTTGAAAAGGTGTTTCCCTTTTTAAAAGCATCTTGCTAATTAATTCTGCCAATGAAGGATAAATAAAGATGTTTTTTTGAGATAGTCCATATAGACCACGCTTTTATAAGCTAAGCTTGTCGCAAGCCTCATCTTATAAGTATTGAAGACTTGAACTCGATCCTCTTTGTTCGCTTATAAGTTTTATTCATCAATGGTTCACTGCCGCCTCCGATTGATCTATTTTTAAAGGAATCGGAAATAAACCAAGTTCCCTTACATCTACTCTGTTACGTTTTTGTAAGATAATATGAATGTAACGTTACCTAACAAATTAACATCACAAAACTTTTCAACCTTCCAACAACAACAAGGCGCTGTTTACTTTCCATTCCATCCATGTTTACACACATCGCACATATAGTTGCACACCTTCAGTTGATACTTTTGAATCATTCAATGTTCTCGTTCGGGATTATAACCACACTTTTAATTTAGTTCAGAAACGGAATTAGCTGACCCTGGGCCGTTTGATTGGTCTTCAATATATGAGTATTCCGCGCCCATGCGCTCCGCTGACATAATAAGATAGTGAATAGGGAACTAGTTTCACGGTATGTAACATGAGTTAAGTTACCATGTAACTATAGTTCTGTGAATGTGATAATTTACCTCGTATCGATGTCGGTGCGCCGTTCGGGCGCGGTGCGCTCGCCGACTCTCGCGCAAGTTCACGCACGCGCGGTCGAATCTCAAAATAGATCGTGACATAAATCTGCATAAACGGTCTTTATTTCTGTCGTCGTCCCATTGTTTTGTTGTTCACTGTAACGCGCGTTACGCCTGTTTGTTACAAACATATAGGGTATGCGATCTGTGGTCTCATATTCCGTAATTCCACATCACTTTTGACCGATCAATATGGTGTTTTGACGAGTTCATAATATTAGCGAATTGTAAATATTACACGATTTGTTTTCATACACAAATAGGTACTCCAGTCACACGACATTTTAAAATATTCCTGATGCAAATGCCAAAGCGTATTAAGCATTTCTATTCATATAACGTTAAATTACATCTATGTTTATCAATAACCTTGAAGATTCGTTCTTGAAGTACTTCTAGATTCTCAAAATTGCGATATTGTTAGTTTATAAAAGTGATTTGTCTCAGTGGCTTTGGTCAAATTGTTTAATTTGACCAAAGCCACTGAGACAGCGCAGCGCAGCGCGCACTGAAGCAGCGTGTCAATTAGGACGCCTCAACAAAGTGGAATTATAATTGATATATCTAATGGTTATCATGTAAAGGTGTTGTCTAGCCGTCCCGACTCGCGTGGTCGCGTCTGCGGTCACCACAATTGTTTCAACCTTGCGTTTCCATTAATCGGAGCGCACCGCTATCGGTCGCCTGTCCTACCATTCAATAACCATCTTCCTGGACCTGTGATATAATAACTATTTAAAGAACACCGTACGCCTCACCTTTTACTGCGCCATGACGCATTGTAAATCATATTAATATTTTATACTATTTTATTAATTTAGTAACTGTTTTCCCGCGACTTCGCCTGCGTAAGTTATAGCTTACTTCGACCTCATGACGTGGTCAGTAGCTTCCCGTAGGTGAAGGTTTTTAAAATAGATCCAGTAATTTCAGAACCAATTCGATTTCGTTATAATAATTTCTTAGTTACTTCTCTGGACCACGCGGGTGAAACTGTGTTTTACAAATGGTACTTCATTTTATGATTCAATCTTAGAAAAAAATAAAGTCGTCCATTTACATTAGGAATAGTTAAAATTTAATAATTTAAAAACCTACTTAAAATTTATATTAGAAATATCGAGTTACTTTTTTCAATCTGTTCTTTAATCTGCTCGAACTTAATATGATAACTTGATAAGATAATATAATTCTATCAAAACACAATTTATATACGTTCGACGTGTATTGATATATTTTCTTAATTTTACTTATAAGAACCGGCATGTTTTATATCACTTTTGCTCTCCATAGCAAGATATACGACCTTCGTTAGACGTTGACGTTTTTACGTCCTCGTATAAAATTGAGTGTCACGTAATATTCGATATCAATAATATGCCGCAGGGTATATATATTTATATCCCACGAATTCGTTGTACGTCGCGTCACACTCATCAATCTGTCATTGATTGAGTTTTCCGACGTAATCCGGTATACTTCGATTCCGTTTTGTAATCATACTAGACGGAGAGCTCGTGACAAATTTGTGCAAGAGCTTTTTAAAGCTTAATATTTCAGTACATTAAAGTACTACGAGTAAAGGTATATCGCTTAGTGCCAGTGCGGAGGTCAAGTGGTGAAGCACTCAGTGGCGGCTGCGCAAAACACACTTCTAGCGATCGCTGAATATGTTTTTACCATTAAATGAAAATCTGAGTATTTTTTTATGAACTGACTACTAACAATTTAGTAATAAACTAACTTTTAACCATTACGAAACTAATTTTTGGAGCTCATTTTCACAACAACTTCTAAGATCTGCTATAAAGTCACCGTTATTATTATTTTTAATTTTGTTAAGAATAAGTTTTTTGTTAATTTTAAACTATTAAAAGCACCTTTATAAGTAACAAATATACGATATTTCGTAATTTTACATTGCCCCGCCGCCACCATGAATTGCGCGTTATACTGAGTGATGTATGAGTTTGTACTTACTTCAACGTACTGAAATATCAAGCTTCATAAAGCTCTTGCACATTATTGTCACGATATCTTAGACTATACCGAGTAGTATGAACGTGCTATAGTTTCTGATGCGACCGCTTTGCTCAACGGTTGTGTAACATGGTGGCCGCGCGTTAATTATCTGTAAAGTTGTTACCCGCTAACGGCCGATACACTAGCTTAACTTCTATGAAACCATTCATTTATAGTGCTTCTGCAATGTTTTATGCTGACAATATTAAACGCGTTTGTGTCGTTACTCTATTTACTTACTAGGATGAACGCTTTAGAATTTTGTTAGGTTCAAAATATCGACCTACTCTGGCTCTGTAGCGGCATGACGTAATCAGTTCTAACAAATATGTGAAAACTGCATGAAAATCTGTTCGGTAATGTTTAATGATTGATTTTGTGTTGGGTGAGGATATGTAGCAGATTTTTTTGCAATTATCTTAGTGTTATTAGAGTAATAGTAATGTAATATATATTATTAGGTTAATACACGCATCTGGATATAAAGATAAAAGTCATCTCATCTCAATAAAATTGCTGAGTCTTATTCAGTTTAAGTTAGCATAAACAGCTACTGTTAGTTGGCCTACCGTTGAAAAACCAGAGCTGTAAAATGTATTACTTTATCACTGATTCTAAATAATTTTTCTTTGGAAGATAAAACTTCCAAGTTTAAAGATAACCTTGCGATAAATTACTTCTATCTAAGGAAATATACATTAGTTTTCCAGGAAGTAGTTTCATCGTTAAGCGTAAAACACACGTAATACGTCAAGTACTAGTATAAGTAGACTAGTTGTAAAGTAAAATGACTGGTCTCAGTCAGCTCGGTCGTCGGTCAAACGCAATCACGCAGCTGTAGACTGCGAGAGGCGCACATTCGCACATGTTTTTTTCTAGAAACAGATACTTGTTGGTGTTTGTGAACTCGACGGCTCAATTGTTCGCACGTTTGTTCTTCGAATGCCAAGTATGCATACTTTTCTGTACATCGGAAAATTTTACTATCTTGGACTTAAGGATTGATCGATGATCCAACTTAGATTGCTACTAGGGTCCTGAATTCATGAGGCAAATTATATTGGTCTCAGCTGCATTTTAAGTGTTAACATCCACCAATCCACTCTATACTCGTGTAGTTTAATTCTATTTGTAAGAGAAGCCTGTGCAGCGACAGGAGGGACGTTAATAGGTTGATAGTGGACAAAGATTGCATCTTATATTTGTAAAGACGTGCAACAAGATTGTAGAGGGTTATAACAGATTATTTCTCTATTCTAAATAACCTTTAGTTGTTTACTAACGGCGTCGTACTACGTACACGTAGTATATATTTTCTTTGGTGATACAGAGTGCAAGAGGGAGATGTGGTAGTGGATTGCGTGTCTCGTGAAATTGCGCCGTGAGCGTGGGAAGGCTGTATGTATTGTATAGTTCTACGCAAGTCTGTGGTTAACTTATTACTTTTTAGCAGTTATCTCTCATAATAACACTTGCAATCCCAGCGTGCAATTATTGCTATTATGAATTAGCCATTTTAATAAAAAATAACAAGAAGTTCTTTTGTGTTAAAAGAAACCACCATACCATTTTGTTTGTTTATAAATATTATTATTTTCCACGATCACTCGTATGAATCAGTCAAGGTTTCCCAATACTAATATTTGCTTTAAACGCGAATTCGCACGTCGCCGTCATACTATTTTAAGTAAGAATGTGCCGTGCATGTGCTATAAATAAATCCGTTATATAGCCGTCTGATAAATCTCCCGTTCACCCAGTTTCCGCTTATATGGTAGGAAACAAATAAGGAGTCGCCGGGACCCGTATTACGATCCACCTGCGTGAGATCTACCGGTTATACATCATATTCATGAACAACTAACTCTGGATGTGATAACGTCTATAATATTGCTCCAGTGCATTTGATGTGCTTTATTTGCTTGATGTGTTTGCTCTATATGCACTATATATCTAGAATAATACGTATTAAGACACGCCCTGCGGCCCTGTGGAGCCTTTGCCAGACCGACGGATACCACCTTGGAAGCTAATACAATATTAAAGACCTCTAGACCAAAATCGAATCAATGTTGCATGCGAAATTGTACACTCAGTGGGGAGTTGCGGTAACAACCCGCCGTTAAGAAGAAAATTAGTATTAAACTAATGCAGACTATTCCGTAGTCATCATAAATGATGTTATAGGGCTTCGCGGTTGTTTACAGGCCGCGCATATGCGGACAGCATTCTGCACTCGATCGAAGGTCGGCGCGCGACTGCGGACGGACGGAAATAGCCGAACGAGCCAATTTCCCGTCCGCGCTGTGTTCGCGCGCGATCACCTCTATCGGTCGCTCATTGTATCAAAACCGGTTCTATTACTTCACTGCTGAGCAAACATACCGCCCCGCTAACTAGAAACACCATTTCACTGAAACCGACAGAGGATACTATTCACTTTTAACTTGAACTTGTATCTCATAGAGATAACGTTGCGTCACCCTGACATCGTTAGATAGTCGAGTTTACTACCTACCGCCTATGTAAAGCAATTTTCATGTACATACATATATATGTCACTATATTCCCCGGTACATCAATTTTCGAGTCTTTTGTCTCAATGAACTCCTATGGATTATATATTGACGAGCATGCAGTCTCTGGGGTTTAATGTATTCGTTATGGCTGGTGTCGTTTGTAATTTGGCGTTTCGACAATACGTGAGGCCATTTATTCAGAGATTAGCGGCGCGCCGGCGGCGTGGCGCGGTGCGGCGGCGGCGGCGGGCGGGCGGGTGCGGGTGGACGACGCCGTTTAATCTGTTTAGGGCGGGCGGCTCCTTCTGTATAGGGGATACAGCTATTTGCGGCCTATTGACCGATCCGAGAGTGTATATGCATGCTAATATGGACCTTGAACTATATTGAAGAGTACTTACAAATTACAAGGTACATTTGCATGACAACAGTTAAATTGTTTAAAAAGGGCGGAAGGTTAATTGCTTTGAAATATCTCTTTATGTATGCAGATAAATGTCAAGGAAACGAAAGATGTATTTAATTAAAGAAAGAACGTTCCTAGTCCAGTTCAGTTCTCTGCCTGTACCCTCAAGGGCTGAAGCGTGAAGATATAGTTGTAAAAAAAAATACTTATAAGTTTAAATGTATTTGGATAAAGCTAAATTGTTTACTATGATTTACTGTGGAATTCTGAAGGCTTCATTTCTATTCGGGTGTCGCACGTGGACTGGGCAGTCGAGCGGGGGCGAAATGTCACGCTAGCCCCTCGCGGACGTGGTCAGATATAGCGGCCTTAATGAACTTAATGAAGGTCTCAACTCCTACGTTTAGTAATTGAGAGAGTCCTTGACTAGAAATTGCTTAAATAAACCGTGTACCAGAATCATTACTTTCAACGTCACGGGTTAATTAAAAACCAACTTTACCTGACAAAATAGAACCGGGGAAGTTTAATTTCCTCTTATATACATTAATATTTATAGGACGAAACGCAGTTATATAATGAAAGAATTAATAAAAACGTTAAGTCCCTGACATTTCGGGCGTAACTTGAAAAATTCCAGCGAGTCGCGTAATAAACCCGAATCAGAACGGTTAATGTAAAATCTATAATATTTTTGGCACATTCTGGAGGGTAAAAGGAGGTCAATAAAATCGATCGGCTTAATGTTCGGTATGTACTTTTTTTTGTTGTTACGGCACTCGATCGTTGGAGCACTGTATGTACACGTGTAGGTATCGTATGGTAATAATCGACCGGGGTGGGGCAGACATTGGGTTGAGACGAGTGGCGTAGGTGCACCGCATCACCCTCGCGTGGGCTTATCGGTAAGATGTGTTGCGGATATGTTCATACATGATAACTATTATTTGTGATCGTGACCAATATACATACTCATTGTTTTTACTTTATCTATATCATATCTTTGTTAGAAAGATAAAATATTTAATTATCTGTTGGTTTGGTTCTTTGGTTTTGACTCCGAAACTAATGGACTCATTTTGAAAATTCTTATCTACGTTAAATACTATATATGCGCTATATTGTATGCATAAGAGGTAAGAGACTATTTTAAAGTGTCCACCCTTGAATTGTTAAAGTTAAATGTCAATAGTAAATACGAGAAACGATAACTCATATTAAAGTAATAAGGTTAGTTTTTTGGTGATTATAAAACTACATATCCTCTATAGCGTCTTATTACAAAGCGTCAGATGTTGGGCGTAGGTTGAGGGTTTGCCCTGCCGTATTGAGCCGTACCTTCTTTTGACGTGGGACGTTCGAACGTAAACGCTTTGTAAATGAACATGATGTGAAATATAACTGTGATTGTAGGTAGAATTTTCCGATAAGTCCTGTGAAAGTTTGAGTCTTTTTATCTAGTAACGAAATGTTCAACTGTATACTGGACGGCAAGGCAATATTAGCTGAGCGTTTCCCTCGGTTATAGCCAGGTCTATCCTTTGTTCAGCTCAATCTAACCCGTTTTCTGTCTTCTTCAAATTTTCCTGATCGTGGTGGTGTTGTTCCCAGCACGTATCAATCGTAGAAATTTCAATAACCGGTCGATTGGTGTCGTCTGCCAAATAGTGACGTCAACGGTTGAATGGGCCCTGGACTTCGCAAATATAAACGTAATATATGGCATTTCAATTAGTCGGTAGCTCAATATTAACAGCATAATAGCGAATTGATAAGTCCACGGTGATAGACTTTTTTTTATTTTGTGATCCAGTAATTGTTAGACCATAATTATATACACGTTAGCTTTAGCCGAATTGAACCCCTGAGATGTCTATTAAAGTACCATGCGACGTGACATGACGTCATCGGTTCAACGGAGATGTCTATGACCGATTGGAGATGTCGGCAGCCGGACGGTGACATCGGCTTTCGGTTAGCAAAATGTTGTCGGCAAAGTCGATTTCATTTCTACAAATGTCAGTTATTGTTTTAGCACAGACAATTATAAAGTGCTGTGAACGCTTATCGACCGATGAGAGGTGGTAACATTGACGGCGGGCGAGTGTCAGGGGTGTCGAGTCAAGGCGGGGCGATTGACGCGGTGCTAATAAACCACCAGCCATCACTAATTGATCTTTGATCGGCAGGTCACGTTTGACCTACTCGATATAAGTACCTGAACGCCCTGAAAATGTTATTTCCGTTCAACACGTGATAGAGGTCCGCTGGCTGCGGTACAATGATACAACTTCGTCCAATTTTACAAAGGGAAAATTTTTAGCTGTATTGTTGCAATAGAAGGATATAATGCTCTCGGGTAAATGGTATATGTTTACAGGTAGACGCAGTTTATGTTTTGCATTATCTACACAGGAAATAAAGTTGATATTTCAAAAGTCATACGAATAGCATCATGCGTTACTCTTGCGGAAGTCTTTTGCTATAACTGTGAAATTATGATATGTAACAGCTGTCGCACCCAGTCAGTTTCTGCAAGACCTGCTATGCACCGCCCACACGTTTTCACATGCACAAATGCCACCAACGTACCATCTTCAAGGGTTGTTAGTCCGTGGAGAGGTGAACCACGTGTAGAGTGGCACAGCAGTTTTGCAAATATTGAGTGTGTGAAAGGTGCTAGATATCGTAGTTTCACATTTAATCAAACATATGATTTACAACCAAACTTATTAGACTACGGCTCTGTACATACTCTTTATTAGATTACTTTCAAACCTTTCATCTAACGCTACTTTCACCGCTGACATTACGTAGATATTATCATCCCCAAAAATGTTATGAGTCCACGATAAACTAGGTCCATGTAATAAACCTTAGGATGTGAACTTAAAACAGTGCTGAGGCGGAGGCGAGCAAGTGTGGCTATGGCGGACGTATCGATCGTAGAGGACTAGGGCGGCCGCCCTGAGGCCGCTGCCCGCCTCACACCCGCGCCAATTTACGCTGCGAACCACGTGCGGCCCGACCTTCACGCGCGCCCCGAATAATAACAAATAAATACATGTGACTAATCGCTCACCATCCGTAAGCTTTCATAAATTGCCTCTTCCCAAAAAATCGTTTAAATATCAGCCAACAATGGCTACATAATTGTCTTTTAAGCCAACTTTTATTGAAGAAATTTTAGAAACGTTATATTCTTATCATAAAATCACATCACAACAAACACCTAATGATAAAAGTATCTTACCACAAAACCGCAAAATCATTGTAACTGTAACAGAACATATACAAACAGAACAGCGCGATTGGACGCGCGATAAATTAGGTGTGAAGACGGCGATAAGTAGTAGGGCCGCGTCCCCGCCGCCGCCGCCGCCGCCGCCGCCACCGCCGCGCGCCGCCCGCCCGCTGCACGCTGATCGATACGCGCTGCTCGCCGACGCACTCGGTTTGTTTACATCGCGGCAAACACTACACAGAGCTTCACTATTCACACCTACTAAAATAGGATTTCATTATTGCTATATAACAGTTTTCGATTGACATAGATATTATCGACTTACGTTCCGTCCGGGCTTCACATGGATATTAGTTACGCAAATCGTCTTCAACAATCATAATTATTTTAACCACCGATTTACATTTAACCAAAAGATACCTAGATTCGAAGGCACTTGATGAGGATACTCCTTTTTAATTAATCAATTTTATTAATAACATCACCTTTAGATAATCATAACTTTGTTCAATAGAGATGACGACTGGGTAAAAAAAAAAAATCTATTTAGTCCGTCAGTCAGATAATAGAAAAATATTAGATACGTTTAAGATAATAAACATTAAAGTTGAGGAGTGGGGGGCTCGCTACGTCATAGTTTTGTACAAAATGTACCAAAAATAAAAAAGTCTTTAATATTTTTAAACGATCTACCTGACAGACAAACAAAAAAAAAATTGTCTTCAGCCCCACTAAGAAATTTATTTAAATACCGCTCAATTACTACTCAGTACATTAGGTATGTCCGACATTCTGACCTGTTGGATATCGAACACTCTTTTATTGTATCATGGTGTCTAAGCTCCGATGTCACCGATATTCTCTATCTAATAAACCGTCTGCCATCGTTTTTGAATCTATGCCAAACAGTAGTGAAGTCCTCCAAGTTCATTCAGGACAATCCAATACGGTTCCTACTTTTTTGCTCTTTTAGAGACTTGTCATTTCTAACACTTATGATTTCATTGTCCTGGTAATTAATAATGTTAGGTCACTGCTCTCTATAGACTGCGTCAATCGCAGTGCAATAGCCGCTTTTGAAATGTAGATTAACTTGAGACATTTCATGTCACATGTTACCTACTATGCTTTCAATTATTCAAACGTCTCTTTTTCTATTGTTTATTTTAAATGTAAAATGCATTGGAGCGTTTAGGGATCTTTCTAGTTCGATCTAAATTTGGAAGTAGATCAGGAAGCTCTTGAAATAAGTACAATAATGCTTCATCACCATTGCTCTATCCCCGATGGGAGATGACAAGTGCCGGAACATGTCTAGACACAGAAACACCGTAACAAGAGAGTCAGCTAATTAACTGATTAATGCGCGACGCATGGACGTCGGAAGTTTTGTCATATTTATTCGAGTTTAGAGCTGTACCATATATCTTTCAGAATCCCGTATTATTTTGTTTCTGTTTTATTCATTTAATCTCATTAGAATAACATAAAATTCACTACTTAAATGTTTCAGTAATGCCAGCGCAACAGGTTGTTTTGTAGGCTAATTGTGAACGCAATTAAATTGTTTCTTTACGCCTCCGCCTCAGAGGACACCTCGTTATCCGTAACGAGGCTCAATCCACCTCGTTTTGTTCTTACAACATTGTTCCGTTTAATTCTAATAGTGTCAACGTTGCTTTTGTTTTCGTCCCTGGCAACAGTGGTGGGATTGTTTTTTTATTCGGTTTAACATCTCGGTGATCTGGTTTTTGTGTTTTAATTTTGTCGGAATTTAATTTTTTACTTTCTCCTGTGGACGCGCCGGCGGCTTGGCTCGTTGAATAACTCGTTCCGCCGAGTTTGCCCGCGGTCAGGACGACACCTGATCCTTCTGCATGCAATGCATGTGCGCCCAGCTCCCTACACTATGGCTAGCAGATGTTTCGTCTGCCCGGAATCTGGTTTTAGTCTGGGACTTAACAGGTTTTGAATTATATCAAGAAACTTCATTTTTATTATCCATATTCGAACACTAAATTCCGTTGAAATCCATCACTTATTTTAAAAAGTGGTCATACCACCTCGATTTGGGCCCTCGTTTCGGGACCGATTTATAAACAAACGACAATTAAATGAAAACAGTGCGTGTGCGCCCTACCCGCTCTGCCACATCGTCCGAATTCCTCACAATGGTACGTTTCATCTTATCGTACGTGTTCTGTCTGGGCCTGTCACTGAACTCCATACTTTTGTTTCAAATAACTCGTTTAGGTTCTTGTATAGTTGAGTAAAATGGATAAAGTGCTGGAGGGCACAGTTTCTGCAAAAATTTTGGTATAATCCATATTCAAGAAATCCACTCAACAGTTTTAGCGGTGAATGTTAATGGTCGTTAAAAACTTTGCTACATCTTATTTGTTACGAGGCAATAGCGTGCCGCTAACTTGGCAATTTATGCTCGATCTGATGTTACACGTACGTGTGACTAACCGATACAGCGATCGGCACAGTGCAACATTCTGTAAAGCCGCCCCGTGTCGAATGGTGAGCTAGATGAATTATTTGACGGCGGGCCGCAGGCGGCCGGCGCAGTCGTTGACCCAGGCACGTCGCCCGGCGCCCTGCTACTACACCCTTCACATATAAGGACTCTTTAAGTGGCCACCTATAACGAATTAATTATTAACAAAACAAATAAACTAGCCACACATAAAAAATAACATAACATAGAAAAATATGCTATATAAATATGCTGCGTTCTCTTAATGATATTCTATTTTATATTGAAAAGCAATAAATATGTTGGACACATTGTGGACCCTGCTTGTGATTTTGCATTATTTCAATTATTCTGATTAAAAATGCAATTTTCGATGCTTTCTTGGCACACTGTGCCCATCATCTACCATCTGTTTTGCGAATAGGTCTCGTGAAGTCATCTCATTTACTGGTCGGCTTTAAACACCCTCTTAAACACAAACATATCTTATTGTGCTAAAATAACTTTAACATATATTACATCATTGTTCCCTTATTGATAGTGATCTCATTGTAGATTGGCCTTGTGAAATATTTCTTAAACAGCAATTACCCACTATCGATTATGGCTTCGGTAAGAGCTAATTGCTGCCTATTATCTTCTGTTCTATAATATTAATATCCAGTTCACCTTTATTCTAATTCGTGTTGCACTAGATTTTCGGTTCGTGTTTTATGTGCTGTTACATTTTCCATGTAATTTAGTACTCTGTTATCTAAACCACACATTATCTCATCATAGCGATCTCTTTGTGATGAATTAAGATAACCCCTTTGTTTCTTCCGCTGCCCATTTCACGCATTATGAATGTTGTTCCAAGTTGTAATATAACCTAATTTTTCTCACAAATTTGACTTAGTTGTTAGGAATATTCAAAACGAATAGCAAACGATTTCAGTTCCACTTGGTCCGATAAATCAAAGTATATAGTGAAGAAACGATCCGTTAGCTATATTAATTAGCAGTTAGGGCTGCGTGGGTTGAATGCGCGCGCGCATAGCCAACTCACTTATTGTGGGAATTGACTCGAGTGCTCCGCAAGAGAAATGCATGCATACCGCTTTCTACGTACAATTATTTTAGTCAGTCAACCATAAGAAACAGTTTCTAATATTTGATTACTTTTTGATATGAAATAAATAGTTCTACTTACCTTTGAGTGCATATTGGCGTAGGTGAGCGATATGAGAAATACAACATCATTATCCAAATGCAAATCGGGCAACTCGTGATTTAAAATTTCATGCATGATTTGATTATCTAGAGATTTAGATGTTTCTGTGTGTTTGCAAAGCTTTTATTCTCTTACGTACACCGTAGTGGGATGCGGGGCCGTGGGAAAGATGCGTTTCCGACTCGCTCCTCGGCAGAGTGTCGACTTGTCATAGTTTGTAACGGTGCTAATGCTGCTACCACTCGGAACATTCTAGTGTTACGTCCGACCTGGTTTACTTTTATATCTAAATTTTGTTATAAGTTGTCCTCTATGAGTTAATAGATATCCTCATAAATGTCAGTTTTTGCATTTATATTAAAAGCAGATAGATTATTATTGTGTAACGACTATTGATAGTATTTTGAATGGGCATTATTTTTTGTCGTCTCGTAGTGGTGATGCAACTATTTAAGTGTACGTAAGAGAGTGATCGACTTGTGCGGGGTTGTTGAACGTTTGCTTCGTTCGCGCGTTGTTCGGAGTTTTATTAATAAAATGCCGTGACGTGTGCACTATAGTATACATCGACGGGTGCGCACCGGATCGAGCTATTTATTGATGCGCCCGCTGCGCTTAGACGCTCTAGCCGAGTATCGATCGGTAATCGCTTATTGGCTGCATTACAATTTTGGTTTGTTTATTACGAGATATCAAATGTGGTAGATAACCGTGAATAATTAAAATTTTAAATTCACATTACGAATTTATTAATAACTACTTTTGAACATTGAACACTTAGTATTGGATTTGTTTTATAATTTTTTATGCGTATCTGATCTTAAAGCACCGACCGTGGTCTTTAGTCTAAATCGATTAGTAGTGTCTACGGAAAATAAGAAATAAAACGACATTATAAATGTCGCTATATGTTCTGTTGCATTGCACCATCTCATTATTGTACTACGTACTGTAGCTCTTGTTCTCGTAGTGCGGGTACGGGGTAGCGACACATCCTTACATTAGGTTTCGTGGCCCTGAAACAAAACGGCCGAGAGAGAGGGTCGGCTAGCAGCTGCGTGCCTCGATCGCTGCCCGCCGCCGCCGAAGCCGCGCAGATGGCTGCCGAGATCCGCCCCACCCACCACTCACCCCTGATAACTTGATAACCGATAAACATTACCGGCTCATAATATCATACGTTCATCTCCGATTCATATAAGAAAGACTTCAGAACGTTATGCTTTTTCAAAACAAAAGTAGCTAGTAGCGCGCATACGTTAACTTTTTTGCATGATTGAAAAACTATACATTCGAATATATTTAAACAGGGTAGATAGCCCCGTCAACGGATTAAAGGTTCGCGGGAGGTCTGTGACGTAGGCTCGTGACGTCACACGCACGTGGGCGCGCGCGAGAGGGATGGCAACAGCCCCCGTTCGGGGAGGACCGGGCGTTTAGGGCGCGCACGAATTGACAGATTTCCACGCGCTCGATACGATCTTGAATTACATTATCAGCTTACACCGAATCAGGTTAAACGGCGTATCCGACTTCGCAACATTACTGTTGGTTGTTGCAGTGAAAAGCGTCGGGTTTTTGTCTGTAGTGTATCGGTTGGCGGTGTCCTTGGCGCGGGTGTCGTAACGGGTGGGTGCAGCGACTCGCCGCTTGTAAACAAAACGTTTACATTTGCCGCGCCAACGCCGACGCCCGCTGACGTCTGTATCCGTAGTCCGTACCAGCGCCACCGCAAGCACGCGCATTATGTACCACTTTTACACAATCGTCCAATTTTTATAGAGACGCAACAATCATTACCCGAAAAACAACTACCAAAGCATATTTTAATAGCATTTTTTTTAATAACTCTACTACTACTCATGTCAATTGTCAATACGACCATTTTTTTAGTTGGACACTGTACAATAACTTGAAAACACAATTATTATAATGAAGACAATTCGAGTGTATTATTCTCTTAACTAAAAGGAATGTAATTAAATATGTTGAGGATTAAAACTAAATTTAGGCTAGTTTGTGAAGCAGAAGTACAATATTCTTGTAATCAGTAACAGGTATCCCAAGTATATGTTTATGCGTAGGTAGTCTGAACGAGAACTTCAGCCCACGTGTGGCAATATAATAGTGGTATGTTGACGCCCTATCACCCGCACGATAAATCTCTTTGACTATGCTTCGTCTATTTTATTTACAATACTTGACACCTAATTAACATCGGACGTTTCGCCTCAAAACAATACATTAACGTTTTACTACAAAAGCGTATCAAATTAAGTGGTAATCGTTTTATCATTCGCCAATACATTAATCGTTATCGCCGTATGTTATCTCATCGGAACATCAAACAAACATGGTTCGTGGTGATAATCGGTCGTGTTCGTGTGTACAGTGTGGGTAATGTAACGTGTTGGTCGCCCGCCGGTGGGCACAGTTGGTGTAGTGGAGGTCGGTCGGCAGCGGGTGGAGGCGCGGTGCGGCGCGGCGGCGCGATTCCTCGTCTCCGCTATTGATCCCGTGCCCGCCCCGTGCCGGCCGCCGCACCGCGCCGCGCCGCGAACGCCACCGTCAGCGCCAACGCCGCGCGCCCTTGAACCTTACACTAATACATTAACTGCACCGGGGAAATGCAACCGCTATTTATTTTTCCGATGACACTGATGTTACAATTTAAAAAATCTGATTATCAATCGTTCAGAAATGAAATTGCTTTTTTTTTTTGGAACGTTGCTTTTCAATGTATATTCTACAGCGTATTGTACAAGTTTGTATTTCAATTTCATTAATGTTTACTATTAATAAAAAAAGGAGTAGCAAAATATTTGATCGAGCAATATGCATACTTTGAATCGAATGCCAATATAATGACGCGTCTTTAAAACGTGCTAGGTTGTAGTTGCTGCATAATTATGAGAGCGGCTATGTATAACAATTTCTATAAGCGCTCCCAATAAATGTCGCACGATTATATTTACAAATTAGGATAGAATTTGTTATAAATTGATTTTTTTTCATAAAATCACAAATGAAGCAAACGTTGCATGTGACGTCACGGTACTTAAACTTATAAAAACTTATCTCCTCACCGGCTTCTAAAATGTCACACTTTGACCCGTCTGTTTATTTTATGACGTTAATGGGTGGGTGGCTTCCAATTCCTGTACACACTTAAAAGTAATTCAGATGTAAGTCAATTGAAGATGGCAGCATGATAGAGTCGTGACTTGCGGAGACTGAGCATATCTGCGGTATAGTAAGCGGACCGTTCGTGTGGCCTTGAGTCGGTGGACCGATGCTGCCGTACCGGCCGCGATAATGATTGCACCGATATCCGCTCACATCCATACCCGATAGCGGTATTTAACATCGACGCTATTTGTTAGGATAGATCAGGGAAGATAACCCCGATGAAAAATATCACGATGTCTTGTGGATACCAGTTGTGAGGTTACTCACTATTGATCGAGCCGTCCATTCCGTTTGTATAGGTGGAGCATTTTGACACAAACGAATGTATTAAACCCAACAAGGCCTCGCCCCTCGTTCCGGTGGATCTGATGAACGCCGATCGAAGGTGTCTCTGATTCATTTGTTATGGTCAGATTACCGCCGCGATACTCGACGCCCTTGAATAGTGATTTTAGTCGTCACCGCTCGACTCGTTTGTTTCCTTAAAAGGTGCAATATTGCTGTTACGTAAGCACTCGTTCAACTCAACACCGCTGCGCCACAGTGTGAATATGAACATATTATATTTCCCTTTCCTCATTTCTCGTATGAAAATAACGTTATCTAGATTGCTTAATAAAATGATTTCGAAATTGACATGAGAGTCGTATGAATACGGTGCCTTTACGATATGTATGTACGATACGCCATCGCGCACTACTCTATTTTATGCTATTTCAAATCGTCAACTCTAATAAACTGTGCTAAATACTGGAAAAACTAGTTCGACTCTTGCGGGGCGGCGGCGGGAGATGGCACGCGCACACCTGGAGCACGAATGTCAAGGCTGCACGCTTGGAAACGCTCCAGCTATGAATCTAAGCATAAAAAATATCGTATCTCCTTAAAATTTGAAACTGATCTCGTGTTGAAAACCAACATAGGTAACAAACTAACGATTATCATTCATCAAGTGATCATAAGTCAAGTTGTTGAACGATAAGTTATCATACCAGAAGTCATACCGCCTGATTGCTGCTCAACATGGGTCTATTCCTCGACGTTACTGATAAACTGACTAATGGACGATCATCTTAAATGATGAAAAATATAAACAGTTACTACTATCACAATAAAGGAACTGTGCAGAAAAGTCAATGTCAATTAAAATGTTAGCGGACATTTACCATTGGTACGCATGTGTTGGTGCGAGGCGCGCGCGACAAACACAAGCACGTGCGCCGCGAACGGCGCGTGACGTCACTTGGATCGCTCCGCCCCTCGTTCCGTGAGCGGGACGGGTGACGTGCACAAAGTGGCAACGCCGCGCGCGCCGTTTTGTTTTCGCATGTAACGCGCCGGTGATAGGCCAAGTTTTATCTTCCCATTGCGAATGCAACTACTATTTCCATTCTAACGATACCCTTCACACTGCAACATACCGCGTTGTCGTTTTATAACGCTTCAACTAGTATCTTCACTTGTACACTGAAAACATTAATTATGTTGACCTCGACCGCTTTAATGAAACCTGACCTTAATTAACATGGAAAGTTTTTATATGAAACGAGAAAAGTTATTAAGGGTACAAGTATGAATTTCGTAATTTAATAATGCGCATTACTTTTATATCGTACTATTGTATTAAATTGTATCAAAATACCTATGTATGTGAATAGGAACAAAATACATTAACAGATTAATCCCAAAGCTGTTTAGTTTATAGGAAACTATACATATGGCATGATTATAAATTTATTTATTTTTTCTTTACAGAAGGAGATCAAGGATCTTGGGAAAGTGGTCTATCCTACGAATGCCGTTCATTGCTGTTCAAGGCACTTCACAACCTCATCGAGAGGTGAGTCTCGCCAACAGATAAGGAATCGTACGTCCAGGATTACCAGAACATATTACACTAAAATTTGAAAATTAGGGAAAAATCTTAAAAAAACATAAAGTTTTGAGAGCTTTCTTTTTCAAACTCAATTTACTATTTTAAAAAGCCATATTACAATTTTTTTATAAATACTTGTAACATATATGCTAATGAAAAAACTTACTTATGATTTCTTGGTGAGCAATCAATAGAAACACAGTGATTTTTTGAAATTAGTTTCTTGATAAAGAATAATATCTTTTTTAATCTATACTATTCTGTGTATATTCCGGGATTTTCAAGAAGAGTTAAAATTCCTGAAATCTCACGACAAATAGCTTAGCTCTATCATATCAATTATGATATTTTTTAGTACAACGATATCTAAATCAAATTATGTTTAGACATAAATATTTAAAAGCACTTTGAGCACAGAAATAGAAGAGAATAACGTTGTTGGTACCTCGGCTGATCTCCATAACACAAGCGCCTAGAATTTAGAACTAGCTACTTAGAATGGGATCTTAACAATGTTTTGGTGTTGACTAATCTTGATTATATCGATTTATCCATAAGATAAACTTCATCTGAATAATAGTAATATCTAATGAGATTTATGATTTTCAATGTAAGTTAGCATAATAAAGGTTACATGTTCGTACGCTTCTAAATTATTTATATATGTGTTGAATATATATAAATAATTTGATTTTAGTTTGGAAAGAAATAACATCATAAAAATATGCGACTATGTTAAGTTTCTTTACACTGAGGTAGTTTTGGAGTAAAAAATATTTTTAAACTTAAAAACACATCTTCCCGATATTAATGTCCAAATTTAGGAAGTGCTTGAAATATAATAACATTTTGTCTACTAACGTAATAAGGTGTCCCTGAAGACCTCGGGGTGCCTAGGACTGTGGAGTACTGGTTAATTTTTTTTATTGCAAATTAGGAAATCTGGATTGATTGATCTGCAGGTCAATTTAGTTTTATCTGGTCTCAATAGAATCTTAACGACTTGCATCTTACCACTGTTCTATCTACCTGAGGTCCAAAATACAGTCCAACAATTGATGTTTTGTATTTTGGATAAATTTATAAGGATATAAAATTTTAAAATCAAGTAAATCAATTTTTTGGATATGCAATTAGTGTTTGAGATTTTTTTGGTAATGTGTATCATATTCAAATTCCTCGGACTCTGTCTTGACGTAAAAAAATCGCTATACTTTTCTTTACAGGAGACACTCCAGATCATCAATCCGTCGTTGCAGTAGTAACAACGTTGTTTCCTATATGTCGTCAGATGGTTAATCCTATAACCAGTTGGTTATTCCTATTCTAATGTCAGCTGTAACTATTGAATTTGCTACTATATTAACTACTCACGCAAGGGTTTGTACGTTTAGATTATTTCTCCATAGCACCTGCGAACTTATTGTTTTTTTTTTTTTTGTCAAATCTTTTCAACGTCATTCCGCAAAGATTAATAGAGTCGGTGCATATCCGACTGTCAGTGAGTCGTATCTCTTCGGTCCGTCGCGGAACGTCAAATTTGATAAATGTATGATATGACATTCATTGTTACACACTCTTCGGCAGATCCGTAGCGTATAACGTATTGACAGATTTTTCGTCAGATTTCCACCGACCGTTTGTCATGCATTTCTCTCGTTGGTAATATTCTTGATATTAACTTCAAGTTGCTTTTAACGTTACCTGAACCCTTTTTAAATGGATCGTACCTCTAACTGGTCCAAGTTTATAACATCGATGGAAATCAATTCCAGGTGCACAGTGTTACACGATTGTATGTATCAATTTTAAGTTACCCGGTAGACTCCCACTCGGGGCATCGATTTTAATGCAAGGAGAATCCATTCTTCTTTAAGTTGTTCAATATTATTGGGTCAATGGTAATTTTGTCTTTATTTTATGATCTAGTAACTCTTTTGACATGTCATAATTACATTAAAGTTAGCAGAATTGCAGCCCTGTATAAATAACTTCTATTATTTTCGTCAGATACTATTAATAGTATCTTATCATACTTATTCTGATCCGACCATCGTCATGATAATAAACAATGTGATGAATCGCGATATTGTTTTAGCATCAGAATTACACCTGGTTGCGCGGGCGGCGTGTGCGGCGGGTCGTACCTCTCTTCATTGTGGCTCGAAGGTCGATGCAACGCTCGGCCTGTTTCTAACGTGGATTTCTTTTTATTTTTTTGCTCTCGTACATCTTAACTCCGGTATCTGTATACTGTAGCCGGTCCTAGCGAACATAATTGTGGTTAAATGACTACTAATGCTCCTTCTTTATCATGTGGGCATGTCTCAACGATCCATTCCGTATTCGCCGATATTTTTTCGACGTCAATACTTCAGATATTTAACTCAAAACTTTTATTGATTATAAAAGAAAACCATCCTTATGTATTAAGCCTTTTATTTGTGAAAACCGTATGAAAATTCGATCTCTCGAAACAGAACCAGCGAAGACCTAGCGAAGGAATATTGTGTTTAAAATGGGGAATAAATAATTATGTATTTTTATAAATTTTTAGATTTTGATTAACTTTGCATTCACTGTGCAATATTTTTATTTAATTAACTTATATGTAAAGAAGTATTAAAAAAAATCCACCGGTTCGGACGCTCGCCTCGGGATTTATTCTTATTAAAAAAAAGAAATAAAAGAATTGACGCTGCGCATATGTGCAGTGTAACCGTAATGAGTATTCACTGGTACTAATGAAGCATAATAGGTGGATTACTACATATGCTCGTCTCCCGGTCCTGAGAGCGTCTCGTCGTCCGTCGGCATGAACGAAATCCGTGCGTGTCGTTGACCCCGGTGCGCGGTGCGCGGCACGTCAAAGCGACAATGCCTCGACGTCGCCGGATCGCGACCGCGCGCGACCGACCATTTTACGATACGCGCACTAATGTTGGAATGATGACGGCTCCGTGTGTTCGAGACGAACCACTTTTTATACTTTAACAATGGAATCTGTCGAAGCCTTCCCTCGGCGCTTTTTTCATTGTTCTCTCTTGCACACCGTCATCGATTATTTGAGTTTTATTAAACGGGCCGTTTAGAATGCGATTCGTATCATAAAGCATCGCTTTAGAACAGTGAATGTAATTTTCTTACTTATTTATTCGGGGCGCAATTTATTGTAATGTTGAAGGTATATATGTATTGTGCTTCAGCTTTTCGGTGTTGCCTCATTGGTTTAGTTCTCAGTCGTGTTTTTTAATTTCTTAGCAAAGGTCTAGAGGTCAACGATCGGTATCAACATTGTGAGCTGTTAGCGTTGAAACTGTTTGTTCACAGAATAGAAATTTAAATTTAATAGGTTTAAGAAACTAAAACTGGCGAAGGTTAAGTTAAAACAAATAACATAAATAGACTATTTAAAAAAAATCATATGTTGATTTGCTTACTTAATCATAATCCAAACAGTACATCGTTGTGTATCCCCTACAATCATTTTCTAAATTCATAATCAATGCAGAACAGATGCAGTATCAATCAATACAATGGTTACACCTGCGCGTGCGACGGTCCCTCCCTTCGCGACAACTCGCTCTTTCCACTCCATTGTTACGTTACACTGTTTATTTATAATGTTAAATGCACTTATAAAAGTTTATTATTCATTCGTTGTTAGCAATAAAAGAAGGCTCGGTTCGTAATCCTCATGTCTTGTACACAACATGTTTGTCGCACGACCGTTCATCTGATATTAGTTTAACATGTCTCGTATATATTTTTTATCAATATTCGTGATGCGTTCTAACATAGATGTAGAGAAGAATATTAATTTTTATTCATAAAATGTGATGCCATTAATTATCATGGATAAGGCGCCGCCGCAGTCTCAAATTTTTTCCAATGCGCATGACGTACAACATGTATAGCTTTAATATGTTATGAGCATAAAACAAATGACAAAAACTATAGATCATTTATATTGTTGTAACAAATAATTACTTATGTGTTGATTCGTAATCTTTGGCAATTGTGGCTACTACACCTAATAAGTTATTAACAATGAGTCGGTCCAAGTTCTCTTGTAACAATTACTATAAATTATTAGGCATTACGTAAGTCGCCTGTGCTTTTAACAACATGACGATTATTCATCATACTTACACTATTGACTGTATGGCGTATGCGCACGCACGTTCGGAACACAATAGATTCACAGTGGTATTGAAATGTAATGTTTTCGAATCATGTATGTAACTTATAGTAAGTCTGAGGAGGTTGATTATTTTGGGGCAATTTTAATTGATCGCCCAATTGACCTAAAAGTTGCAATATTACCACACTTTTTATGATTGTTTGACATTCAATCGACAAAAGTGTGATTTCATTGATTAATATGATGTATTTTCAAAGCATAGTTACAAAAACAATATTGTAGTAGTGCCCTGCGCTACTTCTCTATTTAAATTTCAGCTGTGTTGAATTTCACACTCCGCCGCAATTTTGCAAAAAATACTGATAGCATTTGCCCTCCGAAAATCTTAAAATATATTTTTTTATTTGAAAATCAGCAATAATATTATCGTTACATTATGTATTTATTGAATTATTGTATCATCTACATACTAAATTCTGTTATTTTCTTTCAGATGCCTTCTTTCGCGAGACTTCGTGAGACTTGGCAAGTGGTTCGTACAACCTTACGATGGCGACGAAGAGGACGTTGGCAAAAGGTTACTTAAAATAATAACTTAACGCACATTTTAAAATGCATTACAAAACCCGCTTCCTGCCTCAAGTGTTATATTTCATTAGGGTATTTTGGGTGTTGGCTACGCCTTAGGCTTATAAACTCTATTCGCATTGGACGCCAGTCATACGTCGGCCCCTATCCCCTTAACTGAATATCCAACATTATTTATTACCTGAGAGTCTGGACGTAGATAATATAAGGTAACAAGTCAGTTGAAAAGCATACAAGCAAGGAACGTTTTTCTGACGTTAGATAGATCACACTTATTTTTATAGTGTTTCATGAATTTCTTAACATTAAAATTTATTTAACTTTAGTACACACAGCAACACGTCAGGTTACCACAATGCGTTAAAGTTCCGCAGTTGATGTTGAAATCCACCATCAATGCATTAAGGTTCATAATTAAATGGAGTAATTTGTAAATTTTTGTATCACATGACATGTTGTTGTCTGTACATATGATGGAAGTAAAATTTGGAGCAGTCACAATTGGCTGTTCTCAAATAAAGTCAGTGTTAACGCACTGACCGGTCACTTCCTAGATTGACGTGAGGCTATCTGTATTGCACTCTTGAAGGCACTTGTGTGCGATTTCGTTCCACCTCACACATTTATTTAATGATAATATGTTTTTGTTAAATAGTCGGTTTTGTTATTAGATGTCAAGTGAGTGGGACAGTGATTGTTATATTGGAAATGAGGTCGCCATTCAAAATTTTTAATTAACCCTAACCCTCTGCTACTTATTCTTTATCTGTTACTTAAAACTAATAAAAAAATAGTTCGTAGATACCTTTATAATTTCATTAAAAATCTGTCCTGTAATAAAACTTTGTCTTTACCATTATAAGATGTCAATCTCACAAAATCGTAAGCTAAAATCTACAAAACATAGCAATTAGGCAAGTAGACAACGGGCCCATTTTAACGTAATCCCAATCGCTTGCCTAATGACATTATAAAATGAGAATTACTAGTTAAAAAACCATAATATAAAGTGAAAAATATTTAATAAAAAATCATCTCTATTAGTTTTGCATAAAGCTTAGGTTATAAAATGCTTTATTGTTACTCACTGTCACTACACAGATAAAACTTTCCATTTCATCGATAGGTGCAATAAACCCACTGTCGCGGACACATTTATGGGTGCTGTTGACATTTACATTATCGATAGTGTTATGGAAATATTTCTATTTGTATGTATTTATGGAGAACATTTACGATTATGTATTTAAATTATTAAAAAATTTCACTTGTTTTATCTCTGTTACTTGCAATTGATATTGCAAATATTATTTTGTTTTTAATTGAAATATTTTGAGTGAATCACCTTATGTATTCGTTATTGTATAATATTATAATTTTTGCTAGTTTATTCAGGTGGTTTTCATATAGATCTTTAACAGTTAAGTAAATATCTTGTTGGACACATGTCATGTGGCTAGACCAATATCTTATGTCATTATCAGGAAATCAAAAACGGCTTCTGTTATGTATGACTTGTGATATATTGTGATTTAAAAACATTTCTGCAGATGTAGAAGGAGCAAACTACATAATTATAATTTATCTGGTTCTTATTCTTAAGCTACTGTATTCCTTTTAATACCAAATATTTTATTGATATGGTATTAATCAAAAAGTTAAGTGGTATTATTCATTTATTTGAAATATTTAGATAATAATTAATTTAATAAATGCATTGTATTATGTTTTTATAAATAATAATATTTGTTCCATCAGCCCGTGGCACCTGTCCTTCTCGTTCGCGTTCTTCCTGCACGGCGAGAGCACGGTGTGCGCGTCAGTGGACGTGCGACAACACCCTCCAGTGCGCACGCTCACCTCCAAGCGGCTCGCACGACTCAACGCCAACGACCATCCAACACACGCCAAAGGTGACTAATACATCTACCCGATCTGGATGTCTTATTGGGACATTGTGGTTAGATGGAGCCTGATTTTATGTCAAATGTCAGTCATCATCTGCTTTATTAATGTCCCCACCGCTGGGCCTTCCCTATGGATGGAATCGAATCGAATCGAATAGAGAGAACGGGCCGTATACCCACACGTGGGCCCAGTGTGGATCGTTGGGTGTTAACGAATGTTGTTGCAACGGAGACCAGTCGAGATTGTAAACTTTTGGTCACCCATCGTAAGATCGGCCCATAAGAAAGTTGCTTAACCTCCGCATCGCAAACTAACTAACGCGCTTACCACGCGTGAGATGTTATCTTGAGAATCAATTTATTTATATTTATTTTTTTATCAATTTAGTTATCTTGAGAATTAATAAAGTGATAGAACAACTTTCGCACGTTGAGAATGATAACGTCACTAACCCAAAACGACGTATTTTTTACTTTTGGCAACATTTTTTTTTTTGTTAAGTATAAACTTAAAAATGCAAAGATCCCTGTGAACGTAGCTTGCGTAGAAACTGCTAGGTGGCGTAGTGACGATACGTTGTTTAGAGGGGCGGATTACAATTTCTTGAACTTTAAACGCTTATTACACAAAATCGCATTTTTTGCATTGTGTCACTATCGTTCTCAACGTGCGTTTTGTAAATGTACAGGATTTAAGTTTATTTATTTTTTTATTGTTATTAATTATTTGCGTTTTGTTTGTAGTGATCCTGGCGCCTTTCGGCCTGGAGGGAACGGTGACTGGACGCGAATGGGGCGAGGCGGACGCGGCCACGGCGCGTCTGCTGGACGCTTGGAGGCAGCTCTACCCGCTGGAGCAGGGATGCGGCGCCGTAGAGGTCCGTACGGCATTATTGCGCGGCCGTTCTAGTTCATATGAAGTGATATAGTGCAGTGCTCAGTGAAATAAGCAAAGTGAAAGTGGTTTTTCAAGATTTAAAGTTAACTTAATTCGTCTGCATAAAGTGGAGTAAAGTGGTATTGAGTTGTTGCCCATGTGATAACTGTGAGCTGAATAGAAATAGTATTGGTTTTCTGGATGGCGAAATTGTGTTAACAAGGAACAGAATAGACAGGAAATGGCATTTGCAGAAGAAAATATAGAGTGAATTTTATTGTGGAATAATTTTGGGAGTAGGCATGCCAAAGACCATATAAGATATTGAAAACATTTAAAAGTTGTATGTATGTTGGTTCAATCCAGACATGTCAAAGGATATTCTTGAGTTGGCTATGGCCTTGAGATACTCCCTTGCCCCACAATCACCCACAACATGTTAACTGACACTATTTTTGACACTGATGCAAAAAAGTTGCTCAGTAGAAGTTATGTTATACCACGAAAAAACATATGTCCAAGCAGAATAGTTACTATTAAAAACTGATAGTGGTATTCAGACTATCAGTTTTATTATCTTCCACTAAAGATTTCTTATTAGATATTGATTACTAAACGTAAAGTGAGAATGATAATATCACTGACATCTATGCCCAGTGCCTAGTGTGTATATCAATATCCTTGTTCCCCATTAAGACAGTCATTTGTCTACACACACAAAGCTTCCAAAGCTTTCTTTACACTTTCTTATAAGTCGTTTATATTAATTAGTAAAATCATAATCGAAACTGACATTTATTACTTTAGTCATGACATGGTTACCTACAAAATGATAATTTTCCAACCAATTTTTTTATAGATTTTTTGATTAGAGTTAAAATGGGTATTCAGGCTATGCGGATCAAAGTATTATTCAACAAATACCAGATATATAATGAATTTGTGCACATAAATTTCATTTAAATTGGTTCCTTATAGTTTCCTTATAGATACAATAAGCAATCACAAAGCTCTTATTCAGCATATAGCTAAAGAAAATACTAATTTCTCTTCTTTAAATATGTAGAGAACACCTAAACTAAAATCACTAATTTACAAGTTAATTGTGAACATAGATTTTTTTTAATAATTGTAATTCATATGACGTGATATCTCTGTCATTGAATGTGTATCATTGGCCAGAAAATTCTTTCATATAGTAAAAAATATAAACATAATGAAAGATGTGATATCCATAAATTTTTTAATAATTACAATGTTCTGCTAGTAAAAAACCTCTTTTTGACACTCTTTATTATGAGTAATATGTGATCAGTTATCTCTATTAACTAGCCTGCTAATTTAGTCAGATATACCCTTTTCATCTCATTGATCATTTCCAATCAGTTCGAAATTTATTATTTCTTCTTGTCATCCAAAAGACGTCCTAAATGGGCATTTGAATAAAATATATTTTCATTTCAATAAAATGCTAACTGCCCGCCCTCATAAAGATTTGCCAGAGTCCATTCAATTTATTGCACCACCTGCACAGAGTTTCTTATTACTATTACCAAATGGCAATGTCAGACCAGATATCATAGGCTATAATTGAACAGATTTCCAGTATCTGGCGAAAGGACTATTCTAACTTTATTTCAAAATTTGATAATACATAAGTTTTTCCTACAAGTTGTCTGTGGACAAAACTGACTAACGGTCGGTTTCAATAACTTACTATATCCGTAACTGGAGATTTGACAGTATATCTGTCACTGTCTTTTACATTGTAAACAACAAAGACAGGTATACTTTAAATCTCCAGTTACGGATATAGTAAATTATTGAAACCAGCAGTTAGAGCTATTTTTTTTATCTCTACTACAAAGCACTGCAAAACTTTGCATACAAATGCAAATTTGATTCTACAGAAGTTTGATTATGAATTGTTTGTCAATATTTTAAAACGATAGATTCTGAATGTCATTACATGTGATGCCATCATCAATGACTAAATCAGATTGATTCATACTAAGATATGTATAAAACCAAAAACCCATAAATCAGAAGAGATATGTTGAAGAAGCTATTGTTAAAAGTATAATTTTAATACTGGACTTAAGAGTATATTGGAGTGAACATGAACTGGATTGACAGATTTTTATACAGAGGGCTGCTTCTAGAACTCGACATTCAGTGCCTATTTTGCATGAATAACGGAGTTGCATCAGTCCTGCCACCGCAGCTCCTCCAGGAAGCCCATAAATCCTCGAACCATAACTAAAAATACCTATGATAAAATAATCAATACATAGTGGTGATCAATTTATTAAGATGACGATCAACTTGTAGTATACTCCACTATTATGTTGTTTTATTTTTATATGTTTGGGTGTAGTAAGTGATACGTGCGGTTATATGTAATAACGTGTGTGATGTGTGTATCGCACAGGTGGTGTGTGGAGGGGCGCGCATGCGGTACCCGTTGCCGTACGTGCTCGTGACGGAGATGGAGGCGCGCGCCCCGCCGCCCCCGCCCGCCGCCGCCCTCGCGCGCCGCGCGTTGCACGCCCTCACCACGCCCGCACCCCACCAGGTATCCCCACCACTATTGTACTTAGTATACATATTATGCCATATGTGCTGCTGACGTAAGATGGAATCGCCGGCTTGCTGCCTCACGAATATGCGAATGTTGGAATGATATTTATTATAGAAAATGGAACACAATTTTTACATAAAAAAGTTGGTCAACTAAAAATGGAAGATGGAAACAGAATTTTCTTTAGTTCTTTCGATCATTCTGAGTAATCTTCCTAAAAAATCACAGAAACAATTGTTTAGAATAAAACCAACTGTCGAGTTCGAAATGGTGTACTGAAATGTTTCTGACATGTTAAAAAAACGTTATAATAATATATACTTTTAGTAATTCTTTAACTTTAAGTTCTAGTCGAAGCTTTTGTTAACTTTTAGTAATATTAAATAGCCAAAAAAGTTAACACATGACCAAGGTATCTTAGGAGACATTAAAAACACTGTAAAATTACCAGTTATAATAATTCTTAAGATCTTTTATAAACTATTATAGGTAAATTCTAATATATACTTGAAACTTATACTTGGTCTGATAAAAATATAAATTTACTGTGCATTGAATTACATCACAATATTATTTACAGTCATCTGAAGTGTGCTACAGTGAAACTGCAGACAAAGGTGAAGATTTCCTCGATCCGACCCGCAAGACGCCTTGCACCTGCGCTAAGTGAGTCAAACAAAGAATACGCAAACCGCTATTATAATACAATTAGCCTACTTCATATATGTAATATTTTTATCGTGCAGTCTACTCGAATATGCCCTACACAATAAAATATATAAATTGAAATATTCTTGTAATTTTTGGATCTCGAAATCCTTTACAAGGTAGCGCATGTTCGATATGACTAAGTAGTAAATTAGGCGCAGTATATAGCCGTAGTCGTATGAGCGTTGTGTGTTTTGCATTTATAATTATCTAAGTATGTATGAGAGTAATCTTAACTCTGTTATGCATTCGACGAGCTCGACCGGTCGCAGTCAAACGTAAACCTCATTTGTTAGGGCATGAGGTGAATTTGAAAGCGACCGGTTTTTTTTATGTAGCGAAACTGCATCCGAGGGCGCGGATCGCCATGTAGATAGGTAGATGTTATGTATGTTTTCGTTTTAGCGTTTCGTTTATTATTACTATATAAGTAGCGATAAGCAGATACTGGAACAACAGTTTCTATATGGAAAGGCGTGGCGCGTTCTTCGACGCTGATGCATCGACGAAGGGAATCATTCCTAGCGGGTTCACTGAAAGGACCGATTCGTCGATGAGCCACATTTTTTTCGCCGGACGTCTTCGAGTATCATAGATTTGGTCACTGCGGTAATAAATTGGGAGGACGCGAGAGGGTCTAGAGAGACGGCTATCCCGATACCGGGGTCGTCTCTCTCGAGTCGGCCGACGGTTTCCGATCGCCGACGGGCGTGCCCGAGCGCGCGTGCAGGTGCCCGTTGTCCGCAGATGGCGCCGCCGCCGCGCGCCCCGCGCCCCGCGCCCCGAGCCCTTCCACCGCCGCGCCCCGCCCCCGCCCCGCCACCGCGCCCGCCCGCACCCGCCGTGAGTACACTTGTGTGTCCCACCTCCACCACGATCATTCCCCCGAATCATCACTCCCCCCATCGACGAACACGTTCGAATGCCGCCACCGTTAACGCCGAGTATCTCTACGTTTCAGTAAGTAACTCATACGTTAGCACGCCGAAGACGAATTTTTGACTAGTTGGGGCTATCTTTGCCTCGTATTGAAGTATTTGTATGAATCATTTGGGCTCTGATCTGAATTGGATTCATACTGGACAATTTTCGTACACGAAAGTCGATAAGCGGTTGTTATCTGTCACCCAAAATAACGTCTTTGGTGTGGTATGAACGTAGACAGGTGGAGTCTCCCTGTTCCGTCTGCGTGGTGACCGGTAAGTATTCCTCTAAAGTCATAATTATCGCTTCATATCCGCATAAGCATGTTCTATATATATCGCATACGATTTTTCTTAGTGCATGATTAGTATTGTGCATGACTCGACGCTGTGTATTTGCATGCTTTGTTCAGTAACAATACTTGAACTATTTTAAATACTCATTTAATCATATTTTGAATACGTTAGGAATAAATTTACCTTGTATTATAATATTTATACAGTTTTGTTGTAATATAGTGGAAAAGAAAATGATGAACATGCAAATCAAATTTTGTACTGGATGAATTGTTCATATTAATTTCGAATCTAATATAGATTCTTTTTGCACATTAACTACGGCTTTATTTTCATTATATCGTCATTTAAGTTTAAAATGCAATCATGTAAGAACATCTATACACATCACTAAATTGTATCATTATAAGAAATCTTTATGACTAAATTATAATGTTTGATGTAGAAAAGCTTAGATTTTTTATGAATCATATACTAATTTTCAATTCAAAATCCAAAAATGTCTCAATCTGACAAGATCTAATTTAGTTTTTTTTTTTTGTTATTTATTTGATACCCGGTCGTCAGCTATGTTCGCGTAATGGAGTATACAGTTATATAATTCTTACAGTTGTGAAATTCGTTTCTTTGTATTGAATCAGAAGCAAGGTATTTTAAGGTAAACGACTGCCCTTAATAAAGTATTGTAAACTTTTGTTTCAACAAAAGTCTTTGTTTGGTTTCTCCAGATCGATAGGAAGTTTTTGTTTAAATATCAAGCGAGGCGGCATTTATATTCGAATAGGGTAACAAGGCGATAAAAATGCGTGCATATTGTTAAGACGGTTGCGGTGTTGTGCAGGAGCGGATGCGAGGGCGCGTCGCCGGGCAGTTGCGGGGCGGCGTCCCCCGCGCACCACTCCGCGCCGCCCTCCGCCGGCGCCCCGCCCTCCCCCGCGCACGCCGCGCCTCCGCCCGCCCTACACCAGGTACGCACTTAATCTAAAGTCTTGTCACTTGAATGTAATCTAGGATTAGTGTACATAGCGTGAACTTTATTGACTTGCAACATGAACAGACCCTAAAGTAGTGATTGATATAATATGGTAAATTTAAATATTAAGTGGTGTTGTGTTAACATTTTTTTCTTTTTCTGATACTAATTTTTAATATTACGCGAATATATTATTGAATATATCGACATTTTCCTCAATACGACTTGAAAGTCATTGCACGTACGACACATTCTAAATTGTTCTATTCGTCACTGTGATTCGTTAACTATTGCACCTATTGCATACAAAAACAGAAAATAAAAACAATAAATACGTACTAACTACTATCCAACTTGACGAGGTGACTTAGACGTTTTTTTGCCTATCACCTCGAGTATTTCGTGCCCTACCATTATACAACGCCTTATTTTTCTCTCTAATCTAGCAAATAATAGATAGGGGGGAAAAGAGGTCAGCCGATTCATATTTTATTTTACACAGGGGGAGGGGTAAAAATACGTAATTAATGAATGACGCCTGAAGGAGTAAAGAAACCACGTGTTTGTATGTGCAGAGCGGCGGATCGCTGCCGACGACGCTGCACACGCCCGCGCCCACGCCCGACCCGCATGCGCCGCCCACGCCCGCCCCGCCCTCCGCGCCCGCTGCCCCGCCCAAACACTACCCACAGGTAACGCTCACGCCCATATACAACATAATGTTATATGATGTACTCTGGTAACAATACTGTTGCAACAATCTAAAATGATAATTTTAACTCTTTATACTAAATTATGGGGCAGCAGTAGTTTTCAAGCTTCTTGGAAAATGAAACGTTTACAGAGAATCATACCTGCTAAAAATATGATGTTGGAAATTGAATGTCTTTATTTTCTCTCTATAAAAATTAGGAGAAATGATTGTCGAAAAATTCAAACTATTGGATCCACGAGTTAGAAAAGTAGGATTGGTTAAAATAGAGATTAAAAAATTATATTGAAATCTCAGTTCTGAAAATTGGTAATCACATAATTTTTTGAGTGACAGAATATGGATGGAAACTCGGTGAATCGGGCCTGGTTCGGCTACTGTAAAATGCATCGTTGTCATTCAGTATGTATAATTGTGTGTACACAGGGCGAGTCTCCAGGAGCGGGCGCGGGCGTGAATATGACGGGCGGGAGCACAGGCGGCGGTGGCGGAGGGGGCGCGGGCGGGGGCGGGGCGTGCCCCGCGGAGGGGGGCGAGCTCACGCGGCGCCCCGTGCTGCCCGCGCCCGACCTCAAGCCCGACCCGCTCGAGGATGAGCACTCGCTGCACATGCTGTACGACTACAGCACCGTGCTCGCCTGGTCAGTGCACCAACTCTCTACATCTATCTTTTTCAGTTAGTCCTGACGCCGAGCATGCGACGAGGTCCCTACTATGTACCTCGACGTCTGAGTGCAGACTCTTGTGTTACCCATTCCGACGTCTACAGCTGTCGAGCTATATTAGCATCGCTTCATGTTCCCTGTGAACTATAAACGAAATATAACAACTATCCGCAACTTCTGAACTGTAATCCTTATGTATTCTAAAATATGTGAACATGTGATCGCGATTCTTATATTCCGACAGATAGTCGCTTTGACTCACGTTTGCTATGATCTGAAAGTTGGCAATAGCTATTTCCCTATCTCTATTTGTAGTAAATTTTATTTTATTGTAGTCTTTTTTATACTACGATATATCATGTGTTTTAGTGTAAATAATTAATTAAACTTAACAGCGAGTACACAAACGGTCACATTTTGCGAATAGATCTTGAGAATGTGTATCTTTAGGCTCGCAATATTAACGCCTGTGTTCGCATCGACCTCGCCTCAGAAAACGATCGTCGAGTTCATCTCTGGCAACATTATGTCTGACAATGATATAGTTAGTAAATATATCGTCTCATAAAGTAAAACTTTAATTTTGTAACGTAGGCTCGAACATCCTGTGAAGAGATTCAAAACCGAGGAGAATACGTTTCGTGAAGAGTTAGCGTTAGGTACGGCGTTGGGCGTGGACCTGTACGCCGGACACGATCACACCAAGATGGCCGCCATGCTTGATCACCACCTCGACATCAAGCAGGAGAAAGTGGAACAAGTATGTTGTTTATATCTTTGACTTACAGCTTGTCTATCAAGTGAAACGTAGTCTTGTACAAAAAATACACTATATTCCCCGGGTAAAGAACTGTTTTTAAAAGAAATTAATAAACTCTAACCTGTGACAAAAGGTCACCTATTGATGTAATTCGGAAATTAATCAACTGAATTACACGCGAATCTGTAAGAACGTTGAAGCCGAGGCAGCCAAGAAACACTAGGATTAGATCAGTATTATAGAAACTGCAAAACATGTGTCCAAAAAGTTACAATTGTTATTTATATAGACTCATTGTTTTAATTTATTTATTTAGGAGGATGTAAAAGAGTACAAGAACCTATTTACGTCGGACGGTCTTTGTCCTACGCTAAAAGATCTCGACCAAATATTCGACAATTCCGACGATGCCGCCAGCGGTGATGAGACGGTAAGACTTGTGAGTGTACCTTTATTTATACATATTTACGCTTATGTGACTACCGATTTACGCTATTATAATTGTGTGTTCTCTTATCACAAAAAAAGAGGCGTAGTGTATTGTCTATATGGATATTTATCTTTTTGCCATATACAAGGTCAAATAAAGATTTATTTTAGTCGACTTTCTTATAATATTACTATTTATAAGAATTTCATTGGGAAAACTTTGTTTTTTTTTTTTATTAAATACTGTAGTTACTTATTTTAACTTTGCTTTCATTTGTTGTAATACAATTCTAATTGCATGAATGTGTGTTGCGGGTGTTGGATGGGTGTCATCTATATTAATTAATATAATAAAGAGGAAAAATTTGATTGATTGTTTATTTGCAATGAATAGTATCTTAAACTACTAGAACGATTAGAAAAACAACACGAGAAATTACATCGTATGTCGTGGACGTAGGCTATATTTGATCACCAAAAACTGCAAATAAAGGGATAAAAATAGGAGCAGAAGTTTGTAAAGGGAATTAAAAAATTTAACGTATAACTATACAATTTGTATATTCTTTATATCCAAGTGATAAAATGAGAAGAATTCTCATAAGGCATGGGAACGTTGTCGTTGTCGTCGGGTACATGGTTGGGTGATGTTGACAGCTGCAAGTGCAGACGCCGCCGGACTCGAACAAGTCGTCGGAGGAGGTGCGGTGCGGGGGCGGCGGCGGCGGGGGGCGGTGCGTGCGCGCGGAGGAGCTCAGCAAGATGTTCCCGACGCCGCCCTCCATGGAGGCGCACGCGCAGCCCTCGCCCGGCTTCTCGCTGCCCGACGACACGCCGCTGCCGCACCGGCACGCCTCCGGCAGCCCGCCGCCTGACCCCATCGAGGTTAACCAACACATTGTATCTTGTCAAACTTCAAACGTGTCCGTAGCAAATATCGAGTGACTATGGTTTTCAGATATTATATTGACGATAATTATCAAAATATATAATATAAAATTTTCTTAAAATTTATGGAAACTACTTTTCGTTTTTGCGTCTGTGCATACATGAGTTGGCAATCCGCATTGTCTTCCTGGATGTTACGATCATGCCAAATATCAACCGGAAAGTGAATATCTCAAATTGCACCTAAACAAATAATTAATTCTGAAATGAAAGTATAATTAATATCCGGCTCGTCGTCCAGGACTGGTCGTACGTGTTCAAACCGCCCACCGTGTGCAAGTACGTGGGCTCGTCCAAGTACGCGCCGCTGCAGTCGCTGCCGAGCCAGCTGCTGCCGGCCGTGGCGCTGCCGCCGCACGCCGTGTACCGCCCGCGCTGGCAGCACGACAAGCGGGACGGCGACAACCCGCAGCCTCGTGCCGGTAATTCATATTTATTCTTAGCGTCATTTTAGTGGCAGTTTTTAAGTTTGTCTCTCCATCATTGGTGTTCATCTATACATCACATATAATAACGTAAATATAATAACGTCACATGTTAAGGGGGAGGGTGGGGGTCGAACAAGGGTGACATTGTGTGACAATGGGGTGGGAGGGGTCTTAACTTTCGTGACGTCACATTTCAAAATCTATTGTAATGTTAAGTTTTAAAACACACGCTTTCAAATATCTATAGTCTATATTTTGCATCATACATTATACATGTATGTTCCTGACATTAACAGCTCATACGAGAACGACATGCTATGCCAGTTATTAATAATTTAAAGAGTAGGTAAAGAGTAAATAAAACTGATTTTGCAACCGCTGTTTTTATTCAATAATTTCTAAATGTAAATTTACCAAGTCTGTGACGTCACACCTTGTTAATTATAGAAAGAAAACGTGAACCCGGGCCGTTAACATAAGTTTAATTTTATTAGTGGGTATTTTAAAATAAAAAGAAAATTTCAAATTTTAAAAGACGTTCTTGGCTGCCTAAGGTTTTCTACTTTTTTTCGTTCTACAACTTTGGTTTATTTTATCAGGCGTGAAGCGAAACGCGTCTCCCGCGAGCGATTCCCGTGAGGCGAGAACGAGGCGGCCGTGCGAGAGTAACACCGCTACCACGACCAGTTCCCCCGCGTGCGGGCAGCAGCAGGGCGTGGCGCCGAGCCCCGCGGGCAGCGTGCCGGGCGCGAGCGTGGGGGCGGGGGCGGGGGCGGGCACGGTCACGGCCGTGCGGCCGGGGGCGGATAGTCCGCGCGCCGCCGCCGCTGCCTGCCCCCTGCTGCTCAACGTGCTGCTCACCGACACAGTGCTCAACGTCTTCCGCGATCACAACTTCGATAGCTGCACGCTGTGCGTTTGTAACGCGGGACCGAGGGTGAGTCGCCGTTCGTTTCCTTTTACTTCATTTAGATTCTAACGATTTTACAACATTTTTTTATATCGTAATAATCTCTCAAACCGAACTTACCCTTTGACTATTCAATTTGTTAGAAGTTTTATCGAGCATTAGCTTTAATATTAACATTTTGATATCTAATGATAGCTTGATCATTCTAATATTTTATCATATGAATGGTGAACTATTAATACAATACAATACATCGGGATGTCGTAGATTACGAACTGATGGCATACGAGTTTCGACCATCACAAGTGCTTTTACAGCCCTGACTGATTCACGTCACTACGTATAATTCATTTTTGGTATTGTTTTCGAGGTGCAGCGAAGCGCATTCTCGTGCGTGAATTCGCTACTGGACTGGTTGATTACAACAGTAGTGCATGCAGTCCAGTAGAGAATGTGAAGCTATAGCGATTGTGTATTGTGCAGGTGGTGGGCAACATCCGCGGGGCGGACGCGGCCACGTACCTGGCGGGGTGGGGCGGCGCGGCGGGCGGGGACTGGGAGGAGGGCGCCGCGCCGCTCGACGACGAACCCTCGCGCTGCACGTGCGGCTTCAGCGCCATCGTCAACAGGAGGCTCGCGCACCGCGCCGGACTCTTCTACGAGGTATACACGTACACTAGCATATCAGACTAGAACACCCAGTAATCTGCAGTCGATTATTGTGAACTCCATATCTATAATTCGTAGATCGCCGGTTCATATCCGGCTCGAAGGACCGTTAAAATTTATGGTCTATACACCTTAAACTCATTGCGATGAATATCTACATAGAAATCAAAGTCATGGTGCTACCTAACAGATTGAGGTAAAAGTAGTATCTTTAGGTATGATGATGGTTCACTGTAAAATTACTGATTGCTAAGTGATCTGATTATTATAAAAGGAGTTCGATTGGAATTGGAAGGTGGTACTCTGAGAAGTTGTCATTTATATTATGGTACTATATAAATTACAGCAATTATTATTATTGACGAGATATAGAAATCTTATATATGTATGTAACGTAACACTATACGATAATAAACAGTTGCTGTGCATATTTATCGTTATGTATATAATGAACGTCCTCGTTTTATACGTGCGACTTGTCTCTGCGGTCGTGTTGAACAGTCGGTATTGTGTGTTCAGGACGAGATGGAGATAACCGGCTTGGCGCCGGAGCCGGGCGGGGGTGGAGGCGCGGGTGCGGGGGCGGGGCGGCTGCAGGAGGTGGCGGGCGCGGTGGCGGCGGCGTGCGCGGGGCCGGCGGGCGGCCGCGCCTCCGCCCTGGCGCGCGCCGCCGCCGCCGCCGCCGACCACCCGCCCGCCGACGAGCTCAGGCTCAACCTGCTCGAGTTAGTATTGCACGCTACCACACTACCACACTACCACACACGCTATACACCTTTTTTATATACTCTTACTTGTTTCACTAAACATAAAGTGTAAATTACAACGCGTTAGGTTTCCGTTTCGTTCATATTCGTTGTGGATTTGTGAATCGCCTAATAACGTGATATTGACCACTTTTAAACTCGGTCTACTGCAGTTATACATTGATGAATCACATCGTTTGTGTTCACTGGCCGATGGATAGTTTTTCACTATTCACAGTTTCGCACTAATTATTAATTATGTTATTACAATTAAGTTTTTATTGTTTTTTACGATAGTTAATCTCAGTTGCGGGTATATAATTTGTATATGTCTGATACATTCACAACTTATTTTATCAATTTTTTATTTCAAAATTAGAACTATAGTAATAATTTCTACACGAACATACAATATTGAAAAAAATATTTTGGACAGATTTCAACCTATTTGTAGGAAGAGAAATTTAAAAAACAACTTATATTTTTATTTTTCAGCTATAATATAATTGATTCATGGATCATATTGTAATGTAACGTTATGTGTACAGATACTCAGACGGCGGCACGGCGGCGTCGCGTGCGCTGCGTGCGGCGTGCGGCGGTGGCGCGGCGGCCGCGCCCCCCGCCACGCCCACGCCGGTACATCGGTGGCCCTTCATAGGAGCGCGCGCGCCCAGGTCCTCCAGGGACGTCGTCAGGTATGTACATGCGTACAAATCCGCGACCGCTCGTCTATATTTAAATACCAGGAATCGACGATAAAATGATGGTCGTGTTACGTGCAGATTGATGCGTCGCCTCCGGCCGCTGCTGCAGGACGCTATCCAGAAGCGCTGCTGCGGCGCCCGCATGTGGGACGGCGTGACGGGCCCGCTCACCTGGCGGCAGTTCCACCGGCTGGCGGGGCGCGGCAACGAGGACCTGTGCGAGCCGCAGCCCGTGCCGCCGCTGCTCGTGGGCCACGACCGCGACTGGCTGTCGCTCTCCCCCTACGCGCTCCGCCACTGGGAGCGGCTCGCGCTCGAGCCGTACTCGTACTCGCGCGACGTCGCGTACGTCGTGCTCGCCGCCGACGGGGACTCGCTCACGGACCCGCTGCGCGCCTTCTTCCGCGAACTGTCCGCCGTGTACGAGGCGTGCCGGCTCGGCAGGCACCGGCCGCTCGCGCGCGACGGCCTCTACCGCGCCGCGCCCGACCGGACGCCGGACCGCGCCGACGAGTGGACCGGCGACCTGCCCGCCGGCCGGCTCGGGGACTACCTGCGCGCGTACGCGGACGCGTTGCGCACCTCGGTGCTGCCCAATTTGGTGGACCGATCGCTCGTGGAGACGCCGGCCATGAGACCGCCCGCGACCGCCGAGAACCCCGGCACGCCCGGCGCGCCCGGGCCGGCCGGGGCGGCCGAGGAGAGCGACGGGGCCGGCGGCGCGTGGGAGGAGGACGAGGGCGGCGCGCCCGCGCTCGTGCTGTACCTGGTGGAGCCCCCGGGGGCTGAGCGCCGCCCCGCCGCACTCCGGGCACTGCTGCGCCTCGCAGCCCGGGTGCATCACCATCTCTCGCATCATAATCCCCTAGTTAAGGTGAATATAACTCTCAATAGTCTTAAGAGGTTTCTAAAGCTTGATATTTAAGTACGAAGGACGAAGGTACTTCCACTGATACATCACTCTGTGTCAGGTGCGGATGTCAAATGGTGGAACACCTGGTATTGGCGGCACGAAAAATACTTTTAGCGATCGTTGAATATGTTCGTTCCGTTAAATGAAAGTCTACTTTTGTTGCAGTAAAGTTGAAATATTATTTTTACCGTAACAGATGATTAGAAACGTTTTTTGCTACGAAACCTAATATCCGGCCCGAAGAACCAAATATAGAATCCTTCACCGTATTCTGATATTGAGTATGTTAATTAAATAGTTTCTTAGGGTGAAATAATGTTCACAATGAAATTAAATTTATACAATAGCATTGTAATAGAATTCGCTCCTATAAAAGTCCATTTCTTTATTTATTATACAATACTTACACGATTGTATAAGAAATATAATCCCAATTACATAATTCTGCCGATGCAACTTATATTAAGCTATGGAAAAAATACCTAATTTTCTTTTTGAACTTTTTAATGTTCTGTTGAATCCCAGTTTTTCTCTATGGATATAAACTTAAAGAGATCTTTCCATATCAACCAAGTGTGTATTATAGAGCTACCTGTTTGTCTTTCGACGAACAGTTTGACAGTTTGAGCAGTTTGACATAGTAAGATTTTGCTCAGCTATCCGGAAACTGACCTTTGCAAAAGTTATTTATGTTGCGGACTTTATCAAACAAACGAGCAGACACAGGAATAATGGAAAGAGCATTGAACTAATCTGAAAAATATATGGCACTACGACAGCTACTGAGTATGAGTTGCGTTTCCTGCGTCGGTATTACGAGTCCTGATGAATTCGTGATCAAGGATTCCTTCTTCAAAATCTTTAGGTACGACAACAAGTCTAATATAAACTCTTGAATATCTTCAATCTAAGCACACAACACCAGACCGGGCACGGTTTGGTTTCCTTAATATTTAATTTGTTTGTATTGCACAACAACAGCACAAATATATATCGAATACAGCACTCGCTTATAGACAACGTAATTTATAAAGTTATGTATATTTTCGGCATGGTAAAATATCGTAGAATAAAATCCTGACGCGTCCACTGTCTTTGGAGATGTCATTATTGCATTGAATACGAGATAGGGTAAGAAATAGTATATACTTGCGGGTAATTTCGAGCAGCAAAATGAATCATAACTGATAAGGGTGTAGACAACTTTTTTTTGTATATTTTTATTTTCAGATATGAAATATAAAAAAAATATATAAATAATTTATATAACAAGTTTAAAGTCTAAAAATAAATTTAATTTTCAAAGGACATGGCCGGATCCTGCCCTAAGTATCTATTAAAATGTATAGTAATCATCAATTTGAAAAAATACATTTAAAATAAATTAAATATATGGTGTCGATTACAATTCTCTAGAATAAGCGAAGAAATGTGCCATAAAAAATTGTATATTTATTTTATCAAGGTATTTCTATGAAGTATTTACATCCTATTAATATTATAAAGGCGAAAGTTTGTAAGTATGGATGTATGGATGTTTGTTACTCTTTCACGAAAAAACTACTGGACGGATTTGGATAAAACTTTACAGCAATATAGGTTATACATCAGAATAACACATAGGGTACTTTTTACTGGGAAAACTTCTCACTCCCACGGGATACCGACTTCCACGCGGACGAAGTCGCGGGCGTCCACTAGTATTTTATATTTTGTTTTGATTTAACGTTATATGTCGTATGACGTTATATAACGTGTCGAGAATTTGAGAGCATTTTTTCACTACATCTGGTGTACTTTACATAAAAAAATTACATATAATATAACACCTAAACATATTTTAAGTATATATCGACTTCTAAAAATATTGAGATAATACAAATGTTGAAGTATTAGTTTTTGTAACTTTGTGTGGTTCGCTTCTTTTTCAGGATATTTAATTTGTGATATCACAAATACATACTTCTAAGCTATTATATAAACCACAGTATGTCAATACACATGATTTTGTTTTTATACAAATTCCGGCCATGTAATTTCTCGCGAAAACGCCAGTTATGTCACGGTGTCATCACGGCACTGAAACGAATATCGTACTATGTATGCATAAGATTGAATTCTCTAAGTTCTGATATGAGTAAGAAGGCACTGACGTCACTCATTGTTTGCGGTCACGTCACGCATGCAAGATATTTTTTCATAATTAGTTTTTTCAAATTTAGTTTTAAACATTATTATAAATATAATTAGCATAGAAGTGTGATTATCGGTAATAGTATATTAAACACTATTAGCAAAAAAAAACTATTTCGTTGTGTCTACACCCGTATTACGCGAGAATAGGTTTGCTGTATTATGAAAGTGGCATTTATAATTTGAAACGAGTATAATGTTAGCGTTACTAATTAATATAACTAGCATACAGATAAGTACAACGGTGTCATATGTTCTTCAGATAATCTCTCTGGAAGGCGTGTGCGAAACGTGGGGTCTCGGCGCTAGCGATCCGCCGAGCGGGAGCGCGAGCGGCGGCGGCAGCGCGGAGCTGCGCGCGTTGGCGTTCAGCGTGTTCTGTGGCGCGCGGCGGCTGCTCATGCACTCGGCTAATGGGAAATCGCTTACTGGATTCGGTACCGCGGCCGATGCCAACCTCTTCTTATCTAATAAAGACGTGAGTATGGCGTTTCGACGTCGTTACTTTTGTGAATTGAAGTGTTTTGAGGTTTTACTGTAAATCAGAGATAAATTCAATAAATCTTAAATATAAGGCAAGAGACCACATTTCTAATTTCAACTATTATCTGTTTTTTTTTATTCAGTTTCAATATTTAATTAATAGTACTAAAATATTATTGATTCTGTCTGCGTAACACAACATTACAACACAACTCATCTATACAATTATTACATAGAGGAAAGATTTAAATGTTTGCTTATTTAGGCTCCGAAACAACTGGACAGATTTTAAAAAAGCTTTTACTTACGGGAGAAGCTACATGAGGTGATAGGCTATATTTTATCCTGAAAAACAACAAATAAAGGGATGACAATGGGATTGGAAGTTTGTATAGGGACTATTGTTTACAATTAAATTTGTCATTGTAATTATATAATGCGGGGTTCCGTGAAAGTATAATAATTGTTGTGCAGGAGATAAATCGCGCGGCGTACAAGCTGTTCTCGCCGGCGTGGGTGCTGGCGCCGCCGCGCGCGCTGAAGGAGGTGGCGGAGACGTGGGGGCAGGCGTGCGGCGAGCCGGGCTCCGTGCTGTACCTGGCCTACTGCCTGTCGCACGACCAGCGCTGGCTGCTGGCCGCCGCCACGGACGCGCGCGGCGAGCTGCTCGACACCGCCGCCATCAACATACACGTGCCGCCCAGGTACTGCACATACCACACACGGCTTCTCAATTGTGTATTTGAAGTTCAACCGATGACGCTTTTAAGCTCTAAAGAATGTCAAATTGGTATGGTTAATGTCGCTTCAAAGTAATTATGGACGTTTGTGCAACTGACTGATTATATAGAAAGTTACTGCTATTGTAGTATGTTTCGTTTTATTTATGGACGTCACTTGAACAAGTTTTCGGTTCTGATTTTAGTTTTATTTAATGATAATGAAAATGTTTTTATTCAAGTAAGCTTGTTACAAGCACTTTTGAATCGTTCCCCTGCCACTTGTTCAGGACGTCTTTTAGCTGACAAAAAGAACTAGCGAAAGAAACTTACCAGCTTTTTATCATAAGTAATGACATTTACATAAATCATGTCATTACCAAAATAATACATATATTGAACAATAATAAATACAAGTTTCAAAGTATGTAGGACATAGGTTGGTACATACCTATAATTAATCGTTATAGAACAGAGCGAAGGCTATTAATTCTATGCATTGCGGTCCTTAAAATAATCATCAACTTTATAATAGCCTTTACTCATGATGATATAGCAGTTTGATAAAAAACTGGTACTTTTTGCCATGTGAACAGTAAAAATCCTAAGTCATTGAAAAAAATAGTTAATATTTTGTACTTTTGTCAATTCGGAAACTGGCCGTTATTGTCTTACCACGTTTTAGTAAGAATTTCCCAGATGACGCTTCAATATACTGTGCGACTACAAATTTTTTGACTCGCAGCCAGTATTATGTGCGTTACTGTTGTACATAGTAAATGGACGTGTATGAAACTTTAAACGTGATAATATAAAATTTGTTATTTTTCTCTAGATCGCGACGACGACGCGTCGGTCCGGCGCGTCGGTTAGGATTGAAGAAATTGATGGATTTTACGCTTGGCGTGATGAGTCAAGCCGCGCAGCCCTGGCGTCTTGTCGTAGGACGAGTAGGACGCATCGGGCACGGCGAACTCAAAGGTAAAATGAAAATAAAAATGAAAGTAAAAAAGTAACTTCCTACATAGTTCAAATTGATGGTATATTTTTTTTTTAATAAAGCTGATTAAAAATTAATTTCTTAATTTTTAAATACATTTATAGCTCTCGTAGTAATTAGATTATCTAAGGAACTAGGATTGTTCCCGGTCAGTTGAGTGAAAAAAAAGTTATTCATCTTAGAATCTGAGAAATGTATGTAATGTCTAGTATTATTATAAAGAGGAAAGATTTTATTGTTTGTTTGTTTCTATCGAATAGGCTCCGAAACTTCTGGACCGATTTTAAATTCATCCACCTACATGTACTTACATCACACAGGGTTGGCATAGGCTAGTTTATTATAATACTTGAATCACATGACACAACTAGGGCGTTTGACTCGTGCCGTCCACCAATATGATGTTGCCGCCCCCCAGGTTGGAGCTGGCTGCTGTCGCGCAAGAACCTGGTGAAGGCGTCGAGCAACCTGCGCGAGATCTGCGGCAGCTGCGGCGTGCTGTACCCGGCGGGCGTGCCGTGCATCGTGTCCGCGTGCCTCGTGTCCACCGAGCCGGACTCGTGCCTGCGCCTGATGGCGGACCGGTTCACGCCCGACGAGCGGTTCTCGCAGGCCTCCATACAGAGCCACCTGCACACGCCGCGCGACGTCTCCGCCACGCACATACTCGTATTCCCCACCTCGGCCACCACGCAGGTACTCGCCGCGAAGCCTATCTAATCAGGTACACGTCGCAAATTAGATAGGCTTATTGACTACTTTACAGTTACAACCATTAATCGTGTAATATGTTGGGAATAGTAAATTATATAAAAATTAACTATGTAGTGTTTTTATACTTATAAAAATTAATTGCAGCTATATTTTATTTTTGCTATATTAACTAAACGTCAATGTTTTTGTTGCGAGTGCATCAATTACTCATGTTTACTGAAATATGACGTCACAAATTGAAATGTCACGTGGCTGATTACTTTCGTGGGACAATATAAATTAATAGAAAAATAATATCCATTTTTCATTATTTGATAACACTTTTTGAAAAAACTAAATTTGATACAATCTTATGAAAGTATTAAAATAATTTTCCCAAAACTGTCAAGTTCTGACTTTCCAACTTATTTAATAATAGATTTGTAATGGAAGTTTTAAACAAACAAATATATGTATATTTCATGGTAATAAAAATCGTACGTTTGATCCCGCAGTCGACCCCGATGTCGTTCGAGCAGCCCATGGCGAACGGCGTGGACAGCGACATGATGTTCCTGGACGTGGACATGGGGGACGAGGACATGGGCGAGGACAACATGACGGAGCTGCTGATCGGGGACATGTTCAACAACATGTGGCCGCAGGGCTCCCCGCGCAACTCGCCGCGCCGCCCCGACCACGACCACGACGACGACCACGCCGGCTCGCCCGCCCAGCCGCATCTGCATCATCACTACCACCACCAGGACGACCCCAACGCCGTAAGTGTCAACACACCTTACACCTTACATCTCACCTGTACTATTACAGGAAAATATTCAATCTCTGTTAGAATATCGTAGGTGTTAAGGAGTAGGTTGTGTAGTTTACGGTACGACGCAACTATATATGATGTCTTTGCCAATACTGTAATATATGTTGTAAAGTAGCAATTTAATTCAATTTCTTACTTGTTGCTCTTTTATGATTTAGCCAGTGTCCATTTGAAATATATTTGTCCGGTCTATGTACTATGTTTTCTATGGTTTTTATATTTCTAGTCTACTTTCTCCGTTCTAAGAGAGTATCGTGCTAGTACAAGAACAAAATAGTAATTAAAAAACAACGAATTTAAAATGAGAAAACCACAATGTTATTGCATAAATATGGCGATTAATTTATCTTATAGTTAGCGGTATTAAATCATAAAATATTTAGCAAAGCAAAGTAAAAAAAAAACGATGAAAGGAGTAATTTGTTTTTTTATTTTATTTTTGTTCGCGCTAATGTAGTGTTGTGTGCATGTGTGCGTGTGCGTGTACAGGAGCAGGTGGGCACCGTGCTGCAGCAGCCGCTGGCGCTGGGCTACCTGGTGTCCACGGCCCCGCTGGAGGCGATGCCCGCGTGGTGGTGGGCGGGCTGCACGCACCTGCGCGGCGCCTGCCCCGCCTTCCTCAAGAACGCGCTGCACCTGCACGCGGGCAACCTGCAGACGGACGACATGTACTCGCTCGCCAACAGCAACCACCACAACGCGCACCCGCTCGACTCGCAGCTCACCACCGACGTGCTCAGGTTACTGCTGCACACTACACTACACTACACTGCTGCACTACCGTAGCTCGGTCGCTAGATGCATCTGATAGTGAAAGTGATCAGAGATAGTATTATGTACAAAACTCTGTTCAGCGACAATCCGATATTTATAATTAATACCAAAATACCCTATATTTATCTGATATATATATCATGCATATGAAAAGCTGCTATTTCTTAGCTGCCATTCAATAATAAAAACATTCAATAATTTAAACGTGTAACATTCAGTCTAGAATAAAAATTAAATAAAAATATATCTAACGTAAAAAACGTTGGCTGTGCTCCGACAGGTACGTGTTGGAGGGCTACAACGCGTTGTCGTGGCTGGCGCTGGACGGCGAGTCGCACGACCGCCGCTCGTGCCTGCCGCTGCACGTGCAGGTGCTCATGCAGCTCTACCACACCGCCGCCGCGCTCGCGTAACCATCGCAATCATCATCACCATCACCATCACCATCGTCATCACCGCATACAACGGCCGCTGCGTCAACATCACCAATCAACACCGACACGCGTCGCTCGGAGCGCTGAAACCGGACTGTGCAATATACGACTCTTACTCGATGTCATCTAACATTCACTGCCGATGTGCAATATAATACAAAAAATAATTGCTGTCGCCTGGAGTATTGTTCGTGCACTCATCTGAATGAAAATAATATTAAATCCAAAGCTATATACCAAACGAGAATGGCACAAGAGTACCGAATACAGTTAAGTAGCAATATTGCTACACAGTGCTTATGATAGTTTGAGCATTGTTCGTTTGTTCGTTTTGAAATAAGTGAACTAAATGATGTGATGAATTTTCTTTGAATTTGGAACTGAAAAATCTTATTTATTTGTGATATTGCATAAAAAAATACAAAAAACATACGAAGCGACTCCCTCCTTGGAAAATACAAAATGACGCCGCGGCATCTAACGCAACTAAGAAGCTATATAACTGAACAAATATGTGTGTGAAATATTAGAACGACGTCCTCGATCAGTGTAGTGGTTGGCGAGTTAGGTCGTTAAATGTAGATACGCCTCTAAGGCTTTATTGAAATTATTATTTATTTTATACTATTTATTGTTTGATGCCGGTGATAAGACGACCGCTCGCCGGCAACGTGTCGGGAAGTCCGCAGAGGACGGTACTTAGATAAATAATTGTAAGTGATGTAGGTAGTCGAAATACTCGCTGTCTGCTATTGGCGATGATTCCAAAGACGACCGTTAACGGATACGGTCTGAAGTTTGTGTAGCGTGAAGTTATCTGTTTACTACGAGTTGCCTACGAAAGTTTCATAAAGATATTTATTGATTTTAGATATTTATTTACAGTTACGTAATTTTATGTAGTGTGTACTTATCTATTGTGAGCAATAACGTTTTTCAGCAAAATCAATTTCTATGCAACTTCTAGTGTACGGACACTGAGTGACATTGATCGTTACCACGCACAAAATCTATCAATATGGAAATGTTAGACGTCTAGAAAAAAATTATTAGCTACTTAAGCCGGGGATACTAGTGTGTTATGATTATATGTAACATTCGGTGGTCCAATTTGGCGTCGTTACGCCATAGAGTTCATCAATATCAATTCGTAACGTGTAATTTAGTTGTAAAATTTGAGATTGATTTCTCGTCGAGGGCATTTCATTATCATTGTTAACTGGCAATGTTTCTATTGCGACAAAGAGTATACACTTCCACTCCAGTCTTTCTTAATAACCATACTTCCTGATATTTCTCCCGTTAAGAAATTACAGTGAACCTCACTTTGTGTAGAACGATTTAGTATCCATTCATAATATAGTTTTTTACATACGTAACATATAAAAGTACATACAGTGCTTTTAATCATTGCACTTGCAATTATAGAATTTGTCAACAGCAATAGATACCGGTTTGTATTGTTAAAATGAACTGATAAATCTGTTTACTCATAATTTTTAACGTTAGATAGTGTTATGATAAATATTTAAGGTTACGATTTTTAAAGGATTATTTTTTCAAATGCTTGAATGTACATTATGGAGTTCAGTGGCGGGTCGCTTGCTCCTATGGTCCTCCCATAAAAAAGTTTACTTCTTTCTTTGTCTTTAGCCTTTTATTTTTTTTATTCTGCACCACCGGATTTCCTTATCAACGTAGTCGGTTTTTGGACTACGAAATTAACTACGAAAACTTTAGAAACGTCCCAAAACCATCACCAACTTTCACTCGTTCGCAGACGAAGATTCTGAATCAGAAACTTTGTAATATCTCGCGCCTCTAGGCATCTGCCTAGTTTGCATTGCTAGAGGACAATCCGCCACTAATATTTCAGTTGTATTCGCTTTTAAAAATTCAAGGTCTTCGATTATAACGTAAGACAGGCAATTGACTGCCATATTATGACTTGCACTGGTTGCCATATTTTAGAGAGTATCTTCACTTGTTTTTGTGTTCACATTATAGAAATATTGTCGAGTGTTATCACCCACATGATTCCCAAACTCACAAGATACATTGTCACAAGTTATCTACTGCAGTTGTAATAATATTATTGTCTTGTTGTGCTGTACGTTTAATGTAGTATATTATTTTTGATTTTACGTTATCGTGTTAAACCGGTATGAATTACCAAAGGAGTTAGCTATGTGTAATGTTTTTTAAGATATTTTAAAAACACCATTTGTTTATATAATGGTCTCTCTCCGCAGATCGTTGCGTTTCACAGGGTTATTTTTTTTTTTCATTTCGGTATTTCTTTATTTTACGATTGTCGACATCGACGTTTGTTTAATTTATCGAAAAGCATTATATTTTTATAACTTTTTTTATACTTTAAATACGGTTTACAGTTATATTTCTAACGTTTAATCGATTTTGAGCTCGATTTGTATATTCGAATCATGTAGTTTTTACAAATTAGTGACAAATATATTAGACGAATTGACCATTTGATTAAGCGATGGGCTATTATACTGATGTACAGTTTTATACGAGGGAACAATGAGCTCAAACACGCACCGCTGCGAAACCACCATGCACCGTCGTATGCGCGGTGTACCACCAAGTGCAAACTTTTATATATAAATTTAAGTCTACCACCGACCGTCTGTGCATTGTGGATGACGCGTAACCTTCTAAATATAAACAATTTCTAGATTTATCGTCTTCTCACGGTGATAATTAAACCGCCGATTGGAAACTAATAATTAACACCAATAGTTTACGTATAGATAAATAGCTGTAAAGAGAGCCCCCTAGAACGTTTGAAAGTAGCATTTGTATAATTAGAAATCGTCGTTTTATAAAAGTATATATGATATATGGAGCCCAAATGAAGCAACGCTAGTGTTGGTTCGACGAATCTCCGACAGTTTTGTAGTTATGAGATTTTTTTTATTTTTAATATAATTATTAAATCATAAGTGTAGGGAAATAAATCGGGAGGGATGGTCGTGTAAATAAATCCCAATACTACATGAATCGTGTGGTTGCGCATTCATTATTTTTATCATTGTGGTTTTTTTATAGTTTTGTCTCACGTCTGTGGCCTGCGACAGAGCTATCGGATTACATAATCAGCTTATCGAATTGAACAAACTGTCTGAAATCAATATTGGTTAACGAAATGTATAGTCGCGGTTTTTGTTGCTTAGTGTCTAATTATTATAGACCGCGCGCGATGGGCGGTCGCATCGACTGGCGCGTGCGCGCGGTTAACGGAGAAGGGGCGGGCGTAAATTATTTTACTTGTAACAGTGACGGACAGACCGTAACTGAATTATGCCTAGTTGAATATGAAATGTTTTAAATGTGTTACAGCATTTGAGAATATTTAATGATGTTGTATATAGTTTATATTTTGTTTTGTAAAACTACTTTTTGTACATAAAAAACGGAGTAATTATTTGCCCACATTGCCGATGTATAACGGAGCACGTTTTAAAGAAACCACTCGTAATATTTTGTACAGTTGTTAAGTGAGATTGGTAGATGAATTAATTATTATTAGGGTTTCGTTTTTGACCTCTTTTTGTTATTGCGAATTGTCAATTTATTTAGGGAATTGGGATCGTACTGTAAATAGACCTCACCATTTTGTCATATATTAGTTTGTAAGTGGTCAAATCTGATGATTGAAGTGGAAATCAAATTTTCTAAATCGAGCAATCATTAGAAATTCATAAAACAAAATTAGTATAATACTTGATATTAATATAACTTTATAAATAACTGTGAAAATAGGTAATAATAATTATGAATAAAATATTACATATTTAAAATAAATCTTTTATTTTTTCGAAAAGTAGGTACTACAGAACTATCAATTACTTAACTATGTATCCCATATAGAAACTTCAAAACTGTAACACAAACAGTTTCTAACGAAACCAGAGACATGGCAAGCTTAATTGACTGTTGAAACTAGATTTCTAGTTTCATTGTCTATTTCAAAAGCAGGGTGATTAAATAACACATTCTGACAGCTTCTTGGTGCTAAATCTTGTCAACTTCCATCTCGAAGGGTTCAGTATAAAACCGTTATTATTAGACCAGGCAGCTATTTCATTCAAATACTCATTTTGTTAAAAACTTCAAACATCTGAACTGGTTTTTCAGCTTTAGAAATTACTAATATTAGCAATATTTGATTGCCTAGTAATGAGCAACAGTATATCTGGTAAACAATAGTGTCTCAGTATAACATTGAGGTACATATATCCTTAGGATATATCATGTCTTACTACTTGAACTTCCGATATCAGACCAGAGTAAACTATCTGACTGAATGTGTGTGTACTTAAATCTGATTGAAAATTTTATTTACATACATTATGATTTTCACTAATTTTAGGAGTGGTACACGCGGCTGCACGTCAGACTAACACACAATATGTCAAATCTCAATTAAGATTTTTAAGTACTTTCACTAATTTATTAATTTAATATAATGCTTCATATCTAAGCTATGTCTAAAACTATAACTAAATAGAAATGTTCCCCAAATCATTGCTTTTGAACTTTATTTACAACGCAATAATGTTTAAAATCAAGTGAAATCAATTTAGAGTTTTGTATAGTCTGATATGCTGCTGACTGTATGTACATATTACAAACTTAAGAAATAGAACCTACTTTAAACTTAAAAAAGTGACAAATAATACTTACCTCAAAAGCAACTTATTTAAGTTGGGGGCAATTTTCTATGGGTTATTATTTTTTAAATTTGAAGTCGGTTCTATATTTTTAAATTGATATTTCATGCTTTTAGTGATTTTGTTATTTTTTAGATTATTATCTAAAAAATATACCTATTGGTAACACTAAAAATATTAAATCTAAATTAAAATATTCAACACAGCGAAAGTCTTAGAAAAGGAGATCTTTTTTATTTGCTTTACATATTTTTTTCTAATAAATCTAACCTCGTATTATAAAGAGGAAAGACTTGATTGCTCGTTTGTTTGCATTGGATAGGCTCCGAAACTACACTCAGCAGCACGGAATGTGGCCCATCTGCAATTCAGGTTTGTAATCAAAATAAAACAAAAATGTTGTTCGGTTTTAGTAAAATTTGTTTAATTACTTTTTTTAAATACCAATGACTGACTTGCACTAAAAAAGACGAGAACTCACTTCAAAAAGCGGCAAAAAAACCGCTCAATCTTGAGTAGGTAATAAATAACGTTTTGTTGTATAAGCAGAGTATAAGTGAAGTGAGAACAGTGCAATAGAATATCTGAGACACGTATATTCAATAAATTTTGTTTTGTATTTTTATACATAAATGGGATCAATAAAATTTCTTCACTAAATGAACTGAATTCGGACACGAGTTAATTCGAATTCGGGTTCGGTTTTTTACAGTTCTGGGTCTCGAGCTGATCTTTGAGCACGAAAATTTAGTTTCTGCATCTTTCTTCGTATGGTAAGCTCACTCACGTAGACATCTCTTGCCCAACGGCAGTGAGAAACCGATTTCTCTAAATTCTGAGAGTAATAAAGCGGTAATCTCAGGCTGACGTGCACTTGATACCGCCGCTTCTTGCCATGCGATTCTATAAGCATCCGAACCCAAATTGGAATTCTTTCAGGTGTCCGAATTCAATTCAAAAGCGGCAACAGGTCAACCTTGAATTGGTAATAACGAAACGTTATTATGTTTGGTTGGTAGGTTGTGTAGGTTTCGTAGTATAAGTGAAGGGAGTTTCGGTTCGGATTTTTACGGAATCGTTCCCCATTTTTCGTATAGAGTCCCGCCTGTTCATACCTTTACAAGGCATATCGCAGAGTTGTTTGCGGTATATTTAGTTTCAGCAATTTCCCGCTAAATTTGCCTTTGTCTCCTAAGCAACAAAGCTTGAGCCACTTAAACTGAAGTAAGAGGCATTATCATTCGTTTCTGGAGGCGAGAATAACTACAGATTGATTTAAAAACAAAAGTAAAACAATAATTGTCAACATTCAAATATTCCATATTAACTCACCAATATTCTTTGCGTTTCTGTACAATGGTATAATAGACATAAAAGTGCACTAAACTATATTTTATTTTATTATCACAAAATTTATGTTCGGACCACATTCCGTGCTGCTAAATATATTAAACCGATTCACGCTGGCGAAGTCGCGGGACAGCAGCTAGTTTGATAGAAATTGGTTCAAAATTCTCATGTAATCGATGAACATACCTACTTTTGTAAAAAATATACATACTAATGAAGGAACGTAGTCCTCCTTTCGGATTTTGAATGAATTCAAAATATGTATGTAATCGTTTATTTTAAATAAAATACATCGCCGTCGAGGCATACTTTACTCTTTAACCGCAGTTTACTCTTTTCTAATTTATTCTTTATTTTGAGTTATCATCAGATTATCACGTTAACGTCACGTTGACATTGACAATCAACCAACAAATAAATGTTTTCTTTCTTTCATCCACTTTTCATCTCGCCTTTTTTCGTAGATTTTTGAACTTACTAAAATACTCCATTTTGTTGTCATGTAATATAGTAAAATAATTAATTTAAATGTTATACAGTAACATAACTTATTGTAGCAATGGCAATGTAATGACTGGAAAATACTTCGAAGCATTCAAATGTTGATACACTTGCGTTGTTTGAAAGTGGTAAATGATTATTGTGTGCTATTCCCAGTAATATTTTGGTCATTATGAAAATAAATGAAAAGAATTTAACCGCTTTCGCATCGTCTGCGACTCCGGTAGACCGCGACGGATGGCTCGACATGCGAGGCGAGATTGGAAAGAGCTATCAAAAGCGTTGGTTCATGCTAAAAGGAAATCTATTGTTTTATTTTGACAAGAAAGGTGATAAAGAACCAGTAGGAGTTATTATCCTTGAAGGATGCACCATAGGTATGTACGTAAGATGTCTTATGTGAGTGTAAAAAAAATGTAAAAGCACATAAAACAAAGTTTATTTGTTTATTAACTTATTGATTTATGTTCACTAAAAAAAAAATCCTTAAAATTTATTAAATAATAATTCAAAGTTAATGCATTTACTAAGTCATTTGAATCTGATTTCATTTATTCAAGAGAATACTCCATTTCTCTTCTAGAACTGACAGAAGAAGAAGCATATAGTTTTAAAATAGTCTTCCAGTGTGAAGGAGGTCGCACATACTTCTTGTGTACTAATTCACAAGCATCAATGGAGGCATGGATGAAGACTCTGGCCTGTGCGAGTTATGACTACATGAAGCTTATGGTGGCTGAACTCCAAAGACAACTGGATGAGGCACAAGGTGGCATTTTGAGGCTTGAATCAATGATATTAAATTTATAAAATTGTTATTTGCAAAATTAATAGCAACAGTTCCTGTTCTTATATAAATAAAATTTAAGTATTATTATATCCCTAAGTGATAAGAGTTGCTCTCCCTAAATTGAAATGGCAAAACAATGTTTGCCAGGTCACCTAGTGTCATTATAGAAATTTAAATTTATAACCACATTCTTGTATACTTTGGATAATTCTGTTCATCCAAAGATGAATAAACTGTGTTCATCTTTGAATAATTTTAAAATAAGAACCTTTTATCATCATTTAACTTACTTTCTTTTGCCCTACAATTTGTCATGTAGTAAAATAGATGATAAAATTTAGCTGAGGCAGCAGCGGAGGCAGCTGCATTAGTGACGATCACACCGCCGGAGGAGGAGCCAAAAGTGCCGCCGCGGGGGCAACGCTACAATCCCTTCAATAGAGGTCTGGAGACAGAGAGTAAAACTGTGCATGGCAGTCGACACCGTAAGTGTCCCTATTTTTGTAATGAATTTCATTAAATTAGATAAGATAGTATGTTTTCTGTTGTATTGCTAAATAGAACATGCAAGAGCTAGGTTTGTAATATATTTCAAATAAATAATTATTTTGAACTGTGTTATTCTATTACAAATAAATTAGGGATCATACAATTCTTACTAGCAAAACATTTTCTTAATTTTTTATACCATCCCCAAGCCAGCCTCTTCCATAGGTTTATGTCAACATTACTTACTAAACAATAAACAGTAAACGTAACTAATAGATAAGTTTCTAAATTTTTGTTTGTTAATACTTATTATGGAAATTGGAAATACTGAATTCAATCATAAAAAAATTCTTTCACCTAGGGGAAGCTCATGATGTTGCTAAAGGCTATAAATTAGGCAGGCAATGTCGCAGAAAATCAGCTAGTTGTCCTCAATTTTCTTTGGGAGCACTTGGTTTAAGACATATGAGAGGACAGGATAATGATTTAAGATTGCAATAAAATTTGGGTGTTTTATCTACCTGAACATTGACCAAGTTCTCTAAGAGAGATCTTTGCTTCTTATTTATGATATTAAACTTTTTTCAGACAAAGAGAATCTCAGGCCAGATGTGCCCCGCAAGAAAGTGCCTTTCCGTGACATCCACACGGCGTACGGAAGAAAGATTCTAGCGGATCGAAATGAATGGCGCGCCAAGCTAGCCAAGCAAAAGATTACAACCGATCACCCCCTCATACAGTTGTAAGCGATTATGGCAATCACACCTAAACTTTTGACCTCTAAATATGTAATGAAACATATAGAATTTACGTTAGCCTTTTTGTCGCAAAGATGGTTCACTAAAGAGAGAGAGCGAGTCCTGTTGTAAAAGGAAGAAACAGCGCTATCTCCTTTAAAGCGACAAGTCGAACTTTCTTAAAAAGACAAAGTCAAGTATTATAAGTGGTCTGAAGGGACAGGGACATAAAATTGTGAACACGGTTATCAATACATTGTATGCAACGCAGTAGGAAACCACAGATATTTACTTACGAGTAATATCTTGGATGTGATATTCTAAAATCGCCATCTATTGAATGTGCGGAGTAATTTGAAAATTCAATTTAAAAAGTGACATATATAATCACTTGTACACATATAAATTTCTTTTATAGAACAAACTGTGAACTACTGATCCAGCGTTTATTTATTACTTTTAAAGTATGAGATGAATTAAAAATCAATGAGGAAGATTTAAAAAAAAAAAATTATTAGTTCTCAAAATCAAACTAGATGTCGCTACGGTACATTCTTGGTTTCACTAAATTAGTTTTCAAAACTCAATAATTCTATTTGCACTTTTTCGCATTTTTTTGATACCTAAGTTTCGAACTTTTCAAATTTCAGTTTTTTAATATATTAGTTAAAAGGAATGGAAATGACTGTCTTTGATCCATTCGTTTCCTGCAAAAATCAACTTTTTCTAGAGTCGCCATCTAGTGGAGGTGCCTTTTTAGTGGTTTTTTGTTTTTTTTTTTAAAGTACTTCTTCATTGTATGTAGTTCAAATCTTTTAGATGAGTTTTTCAATTTTTTTTATACTTATAGACTTTAAAATGTAGTAATCCATTTGTCATCACTAACAAAATTAATTATTTATTTATATTATTTATGAGATGAACAAATCATGTATGTGATTAATAATAGTCAACGACTTGCCTTAAATAGCTATGTTTATGCTTAAATGGTATTAAAATGAAACAAGAATGTTTGTATTAAGTAGTTTTATTTTAAAATCTTTGTTACATAAACCAACACAACGTCAACTGATACAGGGGAGTCCTAACATGATATATACTTAAGTTATATAGATATACATATATGTATATGTAGTATCGACGTCACACGGTGACGTCACGCGGCGGCGGGGTGCTGTCTCTAAACGTTTTGGTATCTATTCTCTTAACAAACGCAACTAGACAATATTGAGCAATACACAGCATCGAACCCGTTATGCTCGCGTTAGCTTATAGACGACCTCATCAAACCGTGTACACTGTACACAACAAGGTGAAATATACGAAAGCACGTGTTCGGAAGACGGATTACAAAATGCCCACATCGACAAATAAACATGGTAACAAGTTAACACACAATGACACGAGTTAGGTAAAGTATTTGAAAAAAAAAGTCAATATTAAAACATCTAAAATAATGTGTTAATGTTTTAAAACAATTATATGCATCTATTTTATATATATATAGATATATGAAATGTGACACGCGCGTTCTACATTTTAGCCTCTGATATATCATAATACTCTTTTACGTACTTACGATTTATTTATAACATTTTCTTTTTAACTTATTAATGTAGAACGCGTATGTCGCAAATAATTTGGCTCGTAATAAATCGCGTGGAACATTTCGTCTAATTTCTTTTACATAACATTTATGTTCGCACACACTACGTACAAATCTACAAGAGTACAATCGGCCACGCCGCGCTCTTCACCCGCCCGACCGTTCTCTCCACGAACAATCCCTACTCGTGACCATCAACTAATATTCAATAATAATAGTTTGTCATACCGTATACATTATATAAACATAGTACAGTCGAGATATATTTTTAAAATACATTTCACTCATACATTTTATAATGTTCTCTAGAGAAAACGATTTAGAATGCAACTTGCAGGGTACAAATCGCAACTTTTCGGGTGCGGTTTGCGAACTGCGGTTACGTTCAGGTTAGAGTATTTGACACTTATCTGAAAATCGCGCAAAGAAACGCTGCTCTATGTAATGTGACGTCACACACCGGAAAACATGTCAAGGCGACCTATTTAACAACTATTTATATAAGAAGTAAAAAAATTGTATTACAGAAGAGAAATTGAAGTTAAATTACATGTTTTGTATTTGTATCTACTCCGGTTTAGTTTATAAAAATGAGCTACAAATTGTATGTACAAATACAAATTTGGCGTATCTCTAAAAACACAGTTTTGACACGACAGCTTCCTGTTTACGTGTGACGTCACCTGTTATTGATTGCGAGGACAACAGAGCGTTTTCGTCGCAGATTATATAAATTCCTAAAAACGTTGCATTTTCTTTATGTTATTTTACTAAAGTTCATATTTTGCCTGCATATTCTGAGATATAATTTTGATTAGATTATTATCTAACAGGATGACCACAACATAAAGCAACTTATTTTCGATATTGTCAATTACCCTATAGTACGTTGACAAATGTCGGCGCTAAGCGAGTACCGACGACGCGTCCGATACACCCACAGTGTATGTGATACGTCATAAATATGAAAAATATTTGGTAACGATTCCTTAAAGATTAAAACGAAATACGGTACACTAGAAAAATGGTCACGAAAGCCGTAAGAACCGTTAGTATTTACACTATTAAACAAAAAAAATTTACAAGTACACATTAACATCACTAACCAACTCACTATAACTAACTTAGGAAATTAGCGAAAGTGCTTAAATAAAAGAAAGAATAGACTTTTAAATAGAACGAAAGTAATGTACAAACTATAGTTAATTAAAATTACACAGTAAAAACAATGCATAACGTTATTTACAATTTGTGGGTGGGAAAACAATCTGGCCACTTCTTCTTATAGGGAAATATCATGTTTTTGGTCTTAAGAACGTAACTTATAAACACTAAAACATACAATTAAGGAGTCAGTACTTCGATAACAATAATTTAAGACAAACTCATGTTACTGAACGCTTATAAATAATAAAAAAAAATAGTTTAACAATATAATCGCGAACTACTCTAACCGCGTTCTCTAATCACCTATAAAGTTAGTTACACATTTTGTGACATCGCCTTACAACCTACAAACATTTAAATATTACATAAAATATAATATTTTCGGATGGAAAACGATCCAATAATATAAAACCGCAAATGTCAATTCGTCAAAGGTAATCGAACGGGTTGCCTAATTCAATATCTGAACACAGCTTAATACTAAATAACGATTCGTGGTCACATACCACGTATGCGGTGTCATGTATACTTTATGGACGTGTACAATAATGTCATGTTAATACGATGTAGTAGTTAAATATATCTGATTATATATAATAAACATTTCAAGGGCGGGTATAGTCAAGCTAAGTGGCCAGGTGCGAGCGTGATATATGTAGGACGCACTACTCGTACACTTTGGCAACTTGCGGGCTCCGGCGGCGTTCAGCCGCTTCATCGCTGCATCTTGACATCGTTGTGCCGCTGCAGCGCTGTATACTTCTACTGTACCGCTGCAGGTCACAGCTCGAAGCGCTTTTTTCGCTCGGCGACCATCCCTACCAGCGGTGCCGCCGCGCGCCCGCTCACTGAACAACGCTGTGTCGCTTTTAGTTCTATAAATATGATAATATTATTATATTTGCTAGTTTTCCTTACATATGTACAGACCGTATCATGAAAGAGCTCCCTTGGCATAACTCTTATTCCTTTCTAATAACAGTGAAAACATTGTAATTGAGGGACTTTTTTCGTGAAATGAACTCAGTAAAATTTGAATTAGGAAATGATTTTAGTAGCATTTGACAGTTCGGTCAAGTTCATTATCAGAAAAATGGGGTAAAGTGAATCGTTGCAGTACATTTTATATTCATGCTGAACTTTAAAACAATTATTTACCTGGACGGGTGAAAGCTGCAGGTTTCTTGTGCTCTCTGTCTTCGCGAATTGAATCTTGGCGGGCCTCGCCGGCCTCGCCGCCTCCAGTAGGGGACTCGCTCGTGACGATTTCCCCTAAACACAGACAACATATCTAAAATTAACCACTATTTTAATAAAATTGTATAAGAACAATTTTTTTATTTAATGATTAGATTTAGAGATGCGCCGAACAGTGATTTCACCGAATACTAATCGGTTTAACTTTTACAAAATCAGATATTCGGATGAATTATTTACCGTAACATTCTTTTTCCTCGTTTGCAGGTTTAAAAATAAATGTTGATTTAAAGTTAATTAAACCTTTTTTCTTACTTTTGACGTACACATTCTACTTATAATAAAATAAATAAAATAAATTCAAAACTCCTCATGACAAATTTCCCATGAGGAGTTTTGAATTTAAGTTCTATACGGTATCATGTAACCAAGACACTAGAAATATTCGGCACCAAAACCGAATAATTCGGCATCTTTTTCACAAAAACATGCCGAATGCTAGATGTACTTTCGGCAAATCTTTAATATTATAGTACCTTAACTTTATTTTAGATTTCATCTTTATAATTGATATACATATATATTTCGTCGAGTTATTTATAAATTACTTATGTCATTCAATCCAGAATAAAGTTTGGTAAATGTAATTGTAAAATCAGGATAACATTATGCCAATCTCTAAATCAAATAACAAAAACAAACGTTTGATTAGAAGAATCGTTAAATTACAATTCTGATATGCTATTGCAAAAACCAAACCATCGTGTGAACCCAAATGAGTGCAAAGCAAACCAATTCTTTTTTATACAATCGACCTGTTAAGGATGTAATGAAAAATGTTGAATAAAAACCGAATGTAAATATGTACGTTTGCCCAAGAGATTTCTGCGACTATCCTTTGACATATTCTTGCGAGTAAAAATCAATATGATAGCAAAACCAAATTACGAAAAATCTAATATGTCTAGCTAGCATTATATAAAAAAATAATCGTATAGGTGTATAAAAATAATCTTTATGTAGGTTTATATTATTTATTTTAAAGTTTCTTATCATGAAGTCCGGAGTTACAATTTAGAATATTGGCTTTGATTGGTGGAGTTAATTAACTAACTTGAAAATAAAAAAAACAGCGACTTTGGCAGTCGGAACCCATTTGAGCAGGTGACACACATGACTACGGACGATGACGATGCCGAACGACGTATAATTCACCTACAATTGATTTTTGATTCACATTTTTTGACCGACACCGAACACTAAGGTCGAAACTTCCGCCGAATACGAACTTTCGGATATCTTTTGTTACATTTAAATAAAACAAATGTGTTAAGTAACCTGACTGCTATTACTACGTACTACTACGTAATCGTAAGTTATGAAATTACTCTATCCATAGTGATATTTACAACAACAACTTTAGCTTGTGAAAGAAGATCTAACAAATGTGATACAGTAAGATACAACTGATGTGACTCACGCATGTACACACGGCAGTACGCCAGGTTACCGCAATATGTTCTGCAATGGATATTGACATCTACCCACAATGTGTTAAGGTTTAAAATCTAGTGGCTAAATTTAACAGTTATAGTCTGACATGCTGTTGATTGTATCTCTATCTGTAATGAATTTCAAAATGCGCGAAACGCCATCTAATAAAGATGATTTAAGTAGCGTGGGCGATTTGCACGCCTGATACTCATCGAGGGCGAGGGAGAGGGACACCTAATGCATCGTTCTAAAACCTTATCGTTATTGTGACAAGACTCATTATCAATTAATCGCGGATTTGATCGTTCTTGATAAGAAGAGGGCCAGAGAAAAAGAAGAAAGTGAACGCGGAGGATAACCGGCACCAAAGATGTGGAATGATTACATTCGAACAAACGGACAAATCCGGACAGAACGATGTTCCGATAAGAGTAACTATCGGGAAATAAAAGGAACAGAATGGACCACATTCAGTATTGGTAGGTTTAGGCATAAACGACAGTTCACCACGCTCGTTAGTTGGATCTTACTGTACCACAGAGCAATAATAGGTGTGTTGTTACCTCTCCGCGCGTGGGCCCGCTGCCAGGCGGCCGCCAGGTGCCGCAGGTGCGCCCACAGCGGCGCGTCCCTCCCATGCTGTTAGTGCACCGTGTACCGTCACTACCGCGCGCGTGTACGCCCGCCATTACACTACCACTACCACGCACCGAGCTAAACTGACACGTGTCCGGATCGAAGGACCGATTCGACACAAACTTAAATATCATTGTATTTTTATTTATATCATTAATCTCACTCATTAGACTATTTAAAAAAATAAATAAATAAGTCTTCTTACGTATACGTTATTATAAAACCCGTCTATTGGAATAAAATCTATAATTATCACTATGAGAGCGAGAATTGGAACGTCTTAATCCAGTTAATATAATATTGTAAATTTGTTTAGCTCAGTTCGTGAGTGAAGTGAAAAATAATATTTCACGAAAAAATTTACAAAAGTTCATATTAGATACTCTTAGATATAAAAGATATGACTTTTTAAAACCAATAGATTTTTTATTAAAAGAATTCTAAGGTAGAAACGATCTAACGAATAATAAAGGCCGAAATATGATTCATGCGCACCGACCAAGACCTTGGAAGCATAGTTGTTAAATTATAAATCTATTTCGCAAGAGAGGGGAATGTCAGCTTCGTAAACAAAAATTTAAATTGGGTCTCATAGACCATATTTCTGCCTATACGATGTAGTGTTACGTGCGGATGACGTCATGCAAGCGTGGGCGTATGCTCCAACGGTGAGTTGATCGCTATAAGCGTCGGTAGCGACAAGCGTGTACTGTGAGCGTTGTGACCGCGGCTGCGTGTTACAAGCGACAGGCGACACTTACCGGAGCAGTTTCCTCTATGAGTTGCCCGAGGGAGGACGCCTCGCCGTTCTTCATTTCGTTCGCTTCCGATATTATGTGAGCACGGAGTTGTTTATTTCTGGAAATAATAAATCATCTAAGAAACACATCGAGATAGGTAGATCATTAAAATTTAGTTTTGTGCCAAAGGAAGTGATAGAAAGGAATTAGACCATCGCACGCATGTACATTTGGAAACACGCCCCATTATACAGATTGCCAAAGTTCTCTACTTCATTTTAAACTTTAAGTAATTTTGTTACCTAAATAAAAAGGATAGCGAATTTCAGGGGCAACGTCGGGATTATTTTCTATCGAGAAAATTTTATTAACAGTTCTTTTTGGAGTCATTTCTATGCACAAAACTAGTTGAAAGTTAGTGATTTGGGGTGAATGCGTTCTTATTGCAAGTATTAAGAATGTCTGTTGAGTGAGTTTGTAGTAATTGTAATCACTCAAGAATGCACGTCACATTACCGAAACATGTGAAATTTCTTCAATCAATTATGAACACTACCCGCAATGTGTTAAGGTCGAAGTTGGCCCGAGCCGTACCTGGCGTCGAGCTGCATGATGTGGTTGCGCGCGTGCGCCAGCTGCTGCGTGGCGGCCGCCAGCCGCTCCTCCAGCGCCGCGGACTCCACGCACTTCACCGAGTACTTCTCCGACAGGGACAGGATCTCGCGTTTTATCTCTTCCATCTCTTGTCTGCGGATATTTTGATACCGACATCACTACGACTGGAATTGCTTGTGAAATAAAATAACTTGTTGTTCTTTTTCTGTCTACCGGCGACTCCACTAATTGACCTCGAAGGTTCATTGGTTGAGCGAGTTGTGTTAGTTTGTCGTTTCTGATGTTTTCATCAAATATACAGTGACCCCTAAACAACAACAATTTTTCGTTTAACTTTGAGTTTTTTTTATAAAGCCCCAAGAATAACTACTCGATTTAAAAATTAAAATTAAATAGTTGAGCGAACTTTATTAGTGTATTAGTGTGAGAGGTTCGAACGTTATTTATAATAGCAATAATGTTTTATTAAAGCCTTTCACTTCATTTCATTAAAAACGAAATATGCCTTTTTTGTAATATGTTAATATGTGGGTAGTTTGCATCAGTAATTACTCATAATATAGCATACAGTATCATACAATTAAGTTACAATTGACTTTTGTTTAGTTACGATATACAGGATCCGTACAATGTTGGTCTTTCGAGCCGTATAAAAACCTGTGACGAATGCGATATTATTAGTTGGATATAAACTCACTGGTGCCTGGTACTGAGCTGCGAGAGGTCCTGTGAGGCCCCGCGACTGAGGAACTCCGCTTTAAACTTGTCGACTTCTCGCCGGACCTCGTTCTCGTGCGCTTTACGCATCGCATCCAACGCTGCCAGAGTAGCCCGAGTTTCTTCCGCTAATGCTTGCTCCTTGTCCAACCTAAGCAATTGTAAGCAATACATTATTTATAAAGTTTATAACCAGTTTAAATATTTATTATGTAGTTATATTTGATAAATTCACAAGGCTATACTGAAAAATATTCTTAATTAAAAATACTTAAAAAATCCACTTATCCCAGGTGCTCTAAAATGGGACTCGAACCTACGATCTCTCGCAATCCGTGCGACTGCTCTAACCATTGAGTTACCCAGGACCTAACATAATATAGAGAATATTTATTGTTGTTCAATATAAATTATTTTAAAGTAATAAATTATTCAATAGAAAAAAAGACTGTCATTAGATAACAGTCGTAATTAAAACGCGTTACGTTCCGTTGAAGTTTTTTGTGAATTTGGGTGTAAAATCGAGTCATTTTAGATATTATACGCAGATATCGTATTATAATATACTAAAATACAAGGCGTGCATTGGTTGATAGTTTTTTGTTAGATTAATAGAACAATTAATAGAAAGTGATCCTGAAAATAAAGAAACGACATTCAAAGTTAATTTTTATACAATTCTCTTCAAAATATGTATTTTAAATATTATAAATAAATATTTATTACGATATCACACACTTTTTAATACGTAAGCTTTTTAATAATTGCGCATTTATAAATAAGACGTATTAAAAAACCAAAGAGTTTTAGTACTACATACTACCTACATTTAAATACTGAAGAAATATTTTTAATGAAAAATGCTTAAAAATCCACTTGGTCCCTGGCACCCTGAGATAGGATTTGAACCCATGACTTTTCGCAATCCGGGCGGCTGCTCTAACCAAGGACCTAACAGGACTGACGAATCTTTCAAGCACTCGTTTTATGATCGTGCCCAACCCTTAAGCATTTCGATGTATTTATTGTACGTTAGCATAAGGAAGTATCATCGCATGTTAAATTGAAAATTGGATAAACTTAAATGTCATGTGTGATCGGGCACATTTGTTATGTTTATTTGTGATATATTATTTTTCTCTTTGTTTATGAATTATTTACTTTTTGGTTTATGTTCTTGTACATCATAGGGTTTAAGAGCACTTGAGAATCAAGGCACATTAAAATAAAACTCATTTTACTTTGTTTTTTATTCTATATTGTATTTTATTATAAGCTAAGAATAAAGTGTATTTTAAAAAGTTTTATTGCATTCATTTAATAAAATATTTCCTTCGGCTGTTTGGGTAGATTGCCTGAACATTGATGAGAATACGCTCTGTAGTAACGAAAAGTAACAAGTGTTGTCCTTTTAGGTCCTGGGTATTTCTAAGCATTTTTTATTAAGAACGTTCATTTAAGTTTATTTTTCAGTTTGTGATGGCTGTAATAATGAAAGGCGGCCATAATCTTCAATCAAAATTAGCAAAAATAGAAATACCTATATTAGAAGTTGTTGAAATCGAATCAGTATCTGATCAGTGCGTGTATGTTATTATTGACATAAAATTATATGGCACACGTTGAATTATTACCCGACTGCGACGCAAAGGAGGGTGATGTGTTTATCAGTCTATGTATGTATGTATGTTTGTTTCTATGTGGCGTTCTAGAGACGAAATGCGTAGGCCGATTATCATGATTCTTACGTCAATCGATTCGTCTTAACCTTGCGAGTGTCACTAAAGACATGACAGTAATCAAAATTCACCACAGCGACAACCAGACGCCACATTGTCAAAATGAAAAAAATAAAAATCGAGGAACTATGTCCCGGCGCGTGGAGTGGTTGAGTGCATAGGTACCTGAGTTGGTCCCGCTCGGCGCGGTGCTTCTCCTCCATCTCGCGCACGACGCGGCGGTGCGAGCTCTCCATGGCCAGCAGCCCCTTCTCGCACAGCGCGCGCAGCTGCTCGATCTCCTGCTGGTAGCGCGCGCGCAGCCCGTCGCCGTGCGTGTCCGCCGCCACTGCGCTCTGGACGTGTACGTATGAATGTTTATTGAACACATACACACAATTATATATTTCATAAAAAACAAAAAAGAAACACATTAATTATAATCTAACTCAGAGTGCACTCGGTGTGGAGTCCAAAAGGTATCAGCTCGACATGTGTTACAGATAACTGCAATGTTGATAATCAGTTGACGCCTCACGTATGTAGGTACTTATTTTGACAAATTACCTTTATTTACTTAATTTAACAAACTAACTCACAAACGATTGCATTGTCGCATGTCATCTAACACCGTCCGGTGTATAGGCGCACCTGGTAGGCGGCGCGCAGGTTGTCCAGCTGCGCCGCGTACTCGGAGTCGAGCGCGGCGAGGCGGCGCTGCAGCCCCCGCGCGCGCTCGCGCAGCGCCGCCCGCTCGCGCTCGTGCTGCGCCTGCAGCACGGCCCGCGCGCGCCGCGCCGCCGCCAGCGCGCCGGCCTGCTGGGCCAACGCGCACTCGCCGCGCGCGCGCTCCGTCTGCAGCCTGACACCACGCACGACACGCGACACGCATTGTGAGATTACAAATCGAAACAAAATATCTATCGTTGGACCGCTATAAATAATAAATGAGAGACGTTTCCATAGTTTTTTGATAACGATGTACAGACGCTTTTTGTTTGCAACTAGAATAATTTTTATTAGTATTCAGTGTGACCTATACATATTATAAAACAAAGTCGTTTTCCGCTGTCTGTACGCTGATTTTGATGCGGTTTTCGTCAATATACAGAGTGATTCGAGAGGAAGGTTTTATATGTATAATATAATATTATAATGTTGGATCTCGCAGCTTACGAAAATAATATTGATTAATTTGAAACATTTTTTTTTAAATTGTCCAATCTCCTATTGCCTCCTTGACTGTTTCCGATAAAGCCCTTATCAGATTGAATTTCGCCATAAGAATTATTAATTGAAGATAAAACGTACTTTTATTATTATTTCCAATTTTAAAAAAATCAGTCATTTACAATTTCGAGCCGTGGCGTCACATTTCAATAGTTATGAGTACTGGTCGCATTCGCAACACAGAAGTTTATTGAAATGTGACGTCACACGATGCTCCAAAATGGTCATCCGCTTTTCGGTTCTTGTAATCATAGAATATACTTTTTTAGCAAAATGTGGTCTAGAAATCGTTCTGGAACCACAATTTCATCAGGACTATAATGGAATAGTAAGCAATTATAACCACGGAAAAGGGCCCATTTTACAGGCGTATTTGCTCTAATTCAATATCTATAATGGACTTAATGAACACTACTTTGTTCAGTAACGACCCTATAGTTAAGTCTACGTAGAACTATTTGCTCCTGCGAAGCTAACTATCAGAGCTTAATGGAACCAAATACGGCAGTAAAAAATCTCTTACATTCAAAGTATTATGAATTGGCAAATGTTGCTGCACATATTTATATTGATAATGGTAACTTTTCATCCATTTCTAATTTTAATTAATATCCAAAATATTAATTATAATTAAAGAGTTACTTAACAATAAGTAATGGCTGGCGCATGTATACTTACGGTGAAGTATAACAAGTTTTCTATTAAAATTTTTACGCGCCTCTCAGAAGTAGCGTTTTTAATAAGTTAGATTTTGAAATAATGTCGGTTTCAGTAAGACCATACAACGAAAAGTCGCCATCTTGACAGATGGTTTTTCCAAATACATTATAAAACCATTTTAGGCGTACTTTGTCTAAAAAGGGCAGACATTAGAACCATTGCTTGGCCATATTTATTGGAATCAGGGTTCAACAAATATTTTTATAACTGGCAAGATTTTCATATTTTATTTTAATATTTTTTTTAGATATAAACATTTAGCAAGGTAGTGTTTTTGGACATCGATCGTTTTTGACTAAAAGCGATTTCGAGCTTTGAAAACATCAAGGTGGCCTTGGGAATAATTTATTGTGTCAAAGTAAGGTAGCAAATCTGATGTAAGAGGGAAAATTTTGAATTTACCTTGAATAAAAATTCATTAGCAAGAATCAATATTTTGTTTATTTTTGTTAACTTCTGACCCATTTACAGCTACTAATGGAATTATTTTTGAATTAACCAATCAGTCAATTATTATCAAAAATTGTTGTTCAAATATTTATATAATTCTGGTATATTTGAACTGGTAAATTTTGATATATTTGAACCATACAGAATACTCGCAAGCTTATATTTTATGTTTGAAATTTTAAAGACGTTTTCCTATCTATTGTTGTTGATTTCATTAATATTGCATTGATATATATTAAGAAACAATGATTTTATTAATTGATCGAATGCATCTTGTGCTTGTACAATAGCATTACCACGTATTTCAATATAATGCTCTTGGGTGTAGACCCAGTGATTTTAGAAAAACAGCCCATTTTCTAAAATCACTATGTAGTTCAAAATTACGAGTAGAATAGTCTTCAATATCGCTTTCATCTTTTGACAGATTCCTCACTTGATAATTCAAGGGATGAATTGATATAAACGATATTGAAATACGAGTTATTAATATAAACGTTCTGTCTCAAACTATCACAAGAATTGTTTTGTACGGAACTATTTCCTATTTCTACGATACTTTCTTCGCCAGACAAAGTTAAAACCGGACACCTGAATTATTTGTTCATAGGTTTTCGGATTTTTTCGTTTGTATGAACCACTTCTTTTTAGCCGTTTCTATTTATACAGATCCATTTGATAACAGAAGTTAATAGCACTTCGGCAAGGAAAAAGATTTATCAGAATTAAAATAGTTTTGTTGAGATTATAACAACTTTTGCAGGACCATAATAAACCAATGTATTCTTGTATCAAATCCTTTATTAATAGGTTTGTGATTATAACAATATTAAGTTACACCACTATAAAACTTATCCATTTTACGTATAATTGTTGCGTATAGTGGATTTATAAACCTATACAAAACCAAGTAATAAATGCAAATGGTTTCCAGTTTGTTTAGCACTCTTATAGGCGTACTTTACTTGTAATAGTTCTATAATGAGTTATTTTAGCAGTTATAAGAATAGCTTACTAGTTTATCTACTCTCGAGTACATTTACACCCACAGCATGCTTTTATAGGGCACCTAAGCGTATAATATATCCTTAATTTCGATCTATAAGTGATTATAAGTTGATATATAAGATCAGATATACTACAAGGCCCAAGTGACTCCATGCTTCCTATTATAAGCGTGGCAGTAAATACTATGACCGTTAAGAGAATGTTATAAGTGCTGATGGCCTATAACAACTGTACTATAGGATAATTTTGCTGATTCGGTTTGACATACCTGTCTAGCGCGTCTTGGAGCTGCTTACAGTGCTGGCAGGGCACCAGCGCTTGCAGAGCTTCGACGCGCCGCCGCAGCGCCTCCACGCGCTCCAGCACCGTCCGCCGCTCCCCCTCCCCATCCCCGCCCCCGCCCTCCCCCTCCTCCTCGGTCCCGGCCAGCTGCCGCGCGACCGTCGCCACCGCCGCCTCCACCCGCTCGAGGCTCTCGCCGATCTTCATCGAGTCTTCACTGTTGCCCGAACAGTCACTGGAGAAGAGCGCTCGGCACTCGTTCGAGAAGCGCTGGAACAGGTACACGAACTCCGCCTCCTCGGCGGGATCCCCCTCCAGCGAGGAGATGGCGTCCTCGGTGGCGCGGCGGGGGTCCTCGTCCGTGGGTCCGGCGGCGCGGTACGTGCCCTCCAGCACCGCCACGCGCGCGTCCACCAGCGCCCGCAGCGCCACCACCTCCGCCAGCCCCTGCGCCGCGCCCGGCCCCGGCGAGCCCTCGCGCCGCCCCCCGGCCCCGCCCCCGTCCCCGCCCGCCGCCGTCAGCTGCCGCGCGACGTCCTCCATCTCCGCGCGCAGCCGGTCGTGCGCGGCGCTCCACCACAGCTCGCAGTCGGCGCGGTCCTGCGCGGTGAGCGTGAGGTGCGAGTCCCTGGCGTCGTCCAGCCTCCGCTCGCAGGACGCGGCGGCCCGCGCCAGCGCCCGTGTCACCTCCGCCCGCACGAGCTCCGCCCCGAGCGCCTCGTGGGCGGCCGCCCACGTCTCGCCGCAGCGCCGCCTCGCTTCCGTTTCCGCTTCCTCGCCGCCGGCCGCCAGCGTGGCGCGCAGCTCCGCGAGCCTCTCGCTCTTGTACCGGTCGACCGCCTCTCCGATCTCGCGCTGCGCCGTCCGGAGCGCCTCGAGGTCGGCTCCGTGGATCGCGAGCGCGGCGCGTCTCGGCCTCGCGTCCCGCGCGCCCTCGGCGAGGTCGACGCGCCTCGACAGAATCCTCGCGAGGTAGTCGAGCGAGCTCCGCGTCGCGAACGAGCCGCGCGCGCTCTCGCCGTCGATCCTCCGCCGCAGGTCGTCGATGAGGCGGTCGGTCTCGGCGATCTCGGAGCGCACGAGCCGCGCGAAGAACGCCCCGCCGTCGGCCGCGTCGAGCGCCTCGTGGATCTTGCCGACGAGCACCGCCTCGTACGCGAGCTTCTCCGCGAGCAGCTCGAGGCTGCGCCGCTGCGTCAGCTCGCCGGCCTCGTGCAGCGCCGCCTTTCTTCTCGAGATCTCGAGCAGCTTCGTCCGCAGTCGCTCCTCGAGCTGCGCTACCACTCGCGCGACTCCGTCGTCGATCTCCGGCTCGCCCGGGTCGGTTCTTTCGCCGCTGACGATGCAGCGGTCGAAGCACTCCTGGAGTCGCCTGCTGACTTCGGTGAGACACTTCTCCATCGATCTGATGCTGTACTTTTTCTCGAGACTGGGGGACGGCGATCTTCTAGATTTCGCGGCGCGCATCGCGCTCATCTGGCAGAGGCACTCGTTGACCTTGTTTCTCGAATGGATGACGACGCTCTCGAGGCTCTGCAGCCTATCAAGGAGATGCCTCTGGGATTGCGTGCCGACCGTCGAACTCTCGGGAGTTTCGTTGAAGATCGGGCTGTCAGTGGATCTCGTCGCTTGACTGAGAGATTCGCAGGAGTTGGTGAGGTCGCGGCGGTTTTCGAGAGCGGAGGCGACTTTCGTCTCCAAAGAGCTGAGTCGAACGAGCATCTTCATCGGTTCGGAGCTCGTCGCGCTGTCGAGGGATTTTCTTCGGAGTCGCGCGGCCAACCTTTTTAAACGCTTTTCGTCGCTGAGGCTGTCCGATTTGGAGGCTTTTTCTTTGGCAGGAGACGCACTTTTAGATGGCGAATTTATAGTGGGAACCGTTTCGCCGGTTTCCAATAGTGTAATCTTATTTTCTAACTCAGTTAATTTTTCTTCGACCTCTTTCCCCAACGTCAAAGCTTCCCTCCCTTTTAGCGACAAACTGCGTCTCTTTTCTCTAGATTCAGACTTTTGTATTTTATGTTTCAACGTTCTGACTTGCTTGTCGGAGGCGGTGAGCTTTTGTGTCAAGTCTAAGATTCGCGCTGCCATTAAATCTATTTCGGATCTACTGCACTGTTCCCTCAGCTTCATTTCATTTCTTAACTTCATATTTGTTATTTCGAGTTCGTCGTACATGTTATGTGACTCGCGGAGTTCCTTTTTCATAGTCTTTATTTCTTGAATAGCTTTTGAAAACCTATCTCTTAATTCTACATATTCTTCTATCAGTCTGCTCTTTTCTAATGTATCTAAATTTAAATCGTGGTTAATGTTCGCGAGGTCGCTAAGGGAGCCGATGCTTTTCCTTTTTTCTCTAGACGGGGACTCTGTAGCTACTCTTCCCTCTAGATCTCTTATTCTGGAATATAGGTTTTCGTTTTCTTTAACACTTTTGAGAAGTTTCTCGTTCAGTTCGTTTAGATCTCTCTGGAGCTGTTTTATCGTATCCTGCGCAGATGTCAGCTGTCTCGTCAACAGCTCACAGTGCTCGGTGGACTCTTTCAAAAAGTTCTGAGTTTCAGTTAACTTATTCTCCCACATAGATTTATCTTGACTGTAGAGTCGCTTTATAGTGTCCAAACTTTCTGCTTCCTTTGTTCTCGCTATTAGTTCCTCTTCTTTCTTTTGTAGGGTAGTCACTAATTCCTCCATTTTTTGTTCTCTGAAAGCCGCCTCCGATTTAAGTTTTCGTAGTCTGGCCAGTTCTGATTCTGCCGAGTTAACATCACTCAGTGCCAACTTTAACTGTTTACGCAGACCTTCGATTTCGATCGATTGCTTATCTATAGTGGACACGTAACTGCGTTTACGAGCTTCAGTGGGTTTTTCGTTTTCGTCAACTTCGTGTATTTCTTTTTCTTTGGCATCGATTTCATCCTTTTCCTCTTTAGGGCTATCGATTCTCGCTTGATGACAACTTCGGGCGCGTACTTTGTCCTTAACTTTGGATATAGGCGTGCGGTTCAGAATAGGTGACGGAGGAGGTTGCGGCACCACGTCGCCCCAGTCTGCGCTGTCTCTCCTCCCTCCCTCTGATGCGGTTCTGTACTCCTCGTCCGATGAGAAGGGAGCCGACCTTCCGGTGACTGGTGTAACCGGCGTGACCGGCGATGTCGACGACTCTGATGTTCGATCTACATTATCCTCTCGGAGTATCAACGTCAGAGGACCAGAGTCCGGAAGACCCGCTGTTCTTTGGATAGCCGATACCCAGTTCGCTCTGATGCCTGCAGTTACCGCAGACAAAACTATGTGTTTTCCGTCCCAAGTCTGAAATAAAAAGATATTTTTTTTGTATAGTTATTATTTAAATGCAACATTATCAATTAAATCGTTCCATAAATGCGTACTACCGCATACCTTTGTTTCGAAGGCGTATCCATTGGTCGAAGCAGAGGTCGGTAGTTCGGCTACTCTGGCAACACCACTGAGGTCTATAACTCCATCCATAAGGCCTCTGTGTTCTGCATGTGGATCCCTGAAGTAAAGGAGAGCGGCGCCTCGCAGCACGAACCAATGTCTGGACCAGCCCGCGGCCCCCCTGCGTTGGAGCCAACCAGCACGCGCGTGTAGTAATCGTTCAGCTGGTAGCTCTACTCTGCCACCTTCGCCACCCTCTGCAACTTCTACTTCAGTGGGCTCGCTGCCTTCGCTCGAAGAGCTAGAGCTACCTTCTTCTGGTGGTATACCGCCGTCTGGAGTTCCTCGAGCCTGTGAGTAATGTATTTAAGTAAAATATCACGAAAATCAGCTCGTTCAATTAATATGGATAGTTTCAGCTGGATACTTCTTATGATAGATGTTGTCTACATGCGATAAATTGTACTGTCAGGAATAGAGTGGTGTTTATTGCACTTACTGGGAGTCGGTCTGGTGGCGGCAAGCGGGTAGGTCGCTCCAAAGTAGGTGGCAACGCACGCCTTGAACGTGGCCGGGTGAGTGAAGCCGCAATGTCACGTAACTGCTCGTCGTACTGTTGGTGCTGTTGCTGAAGTAGCGGTGACCTTACATTTACACCCCCTGTTAAGAAATAATGGTTATTGTTTCGGCTACTAGATAGCGCTACAGTATTTGTACATCGCGGTATAGTTTCACATGTTTTTGTAAATATATAGCCTATAATCAAATTGTACTGTTTGCCACTTTAATACATCATTTTTATGAAACCTGTATTTTCTTCCGATTCCATAAATCTTTTTGGGACAGTGTTCACCCCCTGCAAGGTAATATCAAACAGTTAATGTCACTTAAAGAACCAAATTATTTGAATAAATGTATAGGTACATCTCATATAACTTAAGGTATATTATTCACTATCACGAACACAGCCTTATCTCATAATATCTTTAGCGTATTTGAAACATTAAATCAAACGACCACTGTATGCGAGTGTTGTTTAATGGTCGCACTTCTTACTTTATCTTAAAATGGTATTACCAATTTCATGTATTTAAACGGGTTATTGATCAGGTGACAATTTAATAAATTAGTTGATTTTACCATCGTCTTCAGCGGGAGGCCCAGGAGGTGCATCAGGCCACGTATCGCGCCGACGGGACCTTGCCTTCTCTTCTCCATTGATTTTGTCGCGAGTGGGAGGCGAAGCCGATGACACTGGCTGGTCGGTGTACACTGAAAATAAAACAGTTATTTAGATTTTTATTGCAAACATTCATATTGCTTCTGTACTATAGGTTGATAGCTTCAAAATTTCTTATACTTGGGCAATGACAATACTATTGCCTTCATTTGTCACCACGGAAGATTTTGAGACGCTAATCTTTTGTTCGTCCATTTGAGGAAAGACATAATATTGTCTGACTTCGATTTAAAGGTTTTCATTTAACTATGTTATAAGGAAGAGCTTATATCAGTCGAGTATATTAACTTCTGATGGTTTACAGACAGAAAGCTCTTACTGCTTTGCCATAGCCGATTATATGGAGTAAAAAAATATTTAAAGACTTTAGAATGATGAAGATAAAGAATACAGCACACGTATTTCTTCAATCCCACGATGGTTCAAAAGAATCGGCTCCAGCACAATTTCAATAATGATAGCACATTTATATTGTTTGATGATGCCCGGCCCGCCGCCCGGGCTGCGATGCCGCGTAAATAAATCGAGTAAAGGGCAAAAGGCTTAAACACCATTTATCCCTGACCTTGGAACACGCAACCATCTCGTTAGGACATCTCCAATTATCCAATCATCGGCTGAGGTCATACGGCTCTTGACTCTAATTTAAAATATCTCGTAATGTATTCTAATTATGGGCCAGTTTCATATGTTCCATTTGATTATGACTATAATTTGATTGATATCAAAACTACTGAAGTACCTTAGCTTAATAAAGCAAATAAATTAAGAATAGATAGACACTACTAAGGCCTAGCACGTCAAATAATAAAATAATAGAAATTAAAAATGTTTGTGTTGTGCGAAGATGATACGTAATAACTCAATATTTGAACCCTGGTTTGTTTTAGTCAATTTCTTGGCATTTTAGTTTTTTGTTTCAAATACTCATAGTAGTTGTAAGATACGTCACGCGTTGTTTTACCACATAATTAAGCTTGTGTTTCTTTAATTATGAAATAATACTATACGCACAGGTACAGATTACAGAGTGAGATTTTGCTAATGACAAAATAAACTCCGTAGGTATTGATAATATGAAAAAATGTTATACTTTTGAATACTGTGGACGTGGACTCGTGTAAAAAGAATTAAAATATGTTTTATACATATTGCATTTTTAAATATTTAGAGCAAATGTCATCTTTCTGCCATGCAACGTCCCTCGAGCGCCGTAGGCCATGAGTATTTATAATAAATTTTGCATAATTTGTCCTGAATTTAAATCTAAGATCAATAGCTGTGTAAAGTCTTTACATAATGTGTTACAATTTTTGTTATGATAGATAATGTACAAATTGAAATAATATGAATTTAGAAACATAATTATATCTGTACACATGTACGCAATACGCAATAAAGAAGTAAACTATATTGGCGCTGGAATATATAATAAAAGATTCGCGTTTAGTACAATGTACGTTTATTCTCCACATTGGTTGGTACAGAACAGGGGCGGAATTAGTGTTGTCAACACTAAACCTTTAATACAATGTTGTCACAGGATAAACTTAAAAATTACTAAAATTAAAGTTAAATGTTGGTAATTCCAACAACACAGGAGGGCATTGGGGTTGCATTCATCTTCATTGGCAAACTTAATTAATGCCCTCGAAGCGATACAAAGAATACCTTAAATGCTGATCACTAAGCGAATCAATAACGAACGATTGATTGAGCAAAAAACAAAAAAGCGTGATTTGTTCTTTTGTCGGCGCCTGCGCATCGTTTCAATATATTTTGCTTTATAATAATCCGGTTCAGCATAAATCATCATTACCCGCGAAGCAGCTCAAATAGGTGCAATAAGTTTAAATATTATATTTTATTATTATAACTGATATTTTCTTACTTTTAAATGATAAAAGGTGGAATTTAGTTTTGTTTTCCTTTTCATTTGATGGGTATAATAAATTCGAATGTTATTTAATGATAACTTTTTATTTAATTTAAGAATAGGAATATACATTTTAATAGAATTAAAGAATACATTACATTCCTATATCATAAAAAAAAACGTTGAATGAAGTCAATAACTTTTATTCCGTGCGCAAACGCAAGGCGGCGTGGAACAGTTTGTGTCGAAGCGTCACATATGTCACTAGTAGAGATTAACGCGCAAAAAATCGCGAACCCGATAAATATGAATGAAGCGGTCCTGAACACCGGCGTAAATCACCGACACCCACTGCGCGGGCAGCGCATTGTGATACTTGCGGCGCAGGGCTGGCATAGACGATAAATATATGCATCGTAAAATAAAAATCTAAGTAAGCGTAGGAGTTGAGAGAGACAATTGCTTAAACTTTTCAACACGAATCGTAATTCATAAAGTGACGTCACAAGAATATTTTTCAATGAAAAATCCCTAACGATTCCTAGTCAGAAGATCGCCCAGATTTATTCGATTACGATTACTCAATTACTTAATTACTCGATTGTAGAGAGAGCGTGATCATCGATACTTTTAATTTTATTTTGAATGGTGACACTGACTTTGACAGTTCGTTAATAAAAATCAAGTTGCCGCCAGAATGATCGCCATCTTTCATTCATTTCATTTTCATTTTACATGTAAAAATTAATTTATTTACTTGACATTGGCAGAATTGTGCGATATGCGCAGATAAGCCATTAATTAAAAAAGAAGAAGAAGAAGGAGTTGCCGCCATTTTGGCACATATTCTGTTTCCGAACGCCGAGGAGTAAAGACATCCGACGACATCACGCTCATCTCGTTATATTTTCGTATGAAAAGTGATAAAATGGAACAAATGCACGTTGGTATACACGCCTGCAGTGTTATTTTAAAGATAGTCCTCCGATATGGACGATCTATTTGGGCTTCGTAATAGGCCCTTCTGACTACACGCCGACATACACATATTGCATTTAATAGCTAGTACGTTATACAATCGATGAAGTCAATATAATCATATTGACAACCCTCGTTCTCTTCTCCCCGTGAGGCCTCCGCGGTCTGGCCTAGTGCTAATATTAATGTCTTAAAAACACTTTATCATGTAATGGAACCTTTTTTCTTATGCAATTACCTACGTACGTTCTAGAAGATGCGACTACAGACGTCATGACTCATGGAATACAAATAAGTAATGCTTACACTGACACAAGACAGCTCATAAGGGCTTTTGGTTAAGCGAAGAAGAACACGTGAACCAAACATCACTGACTTTCACAGGTTTTGTGCAAAAATATAATAAGCATATTCCGCACTGATGTTTTTATAAACTATTCACTATTTTATTCCTTACCAATAATGATGTAGATTATTAAAATTTTCCTAATTGTTATTAAGTTAATATTAAAAAGGAAAATGCTTAAAAAAATCTGATAATTTAATTTAATTTTTTAAGACACTGGGAAGTTACATTTTATACTATGTATATTTTGGAGAAAATTAGGCAAATTTTTATCTCGCCATGGACCACTCACTTGGTTATTAAACCAGTGATAACTAAATATATTTCTTACTTTTGTAAGAAATAAAAAAAAAACAGAAGAACGTTAACGTTTCAGTTTGAAGACTGAAATGGTGCTACTGGTTTCTGGTGTAGAACTGGTGTGCCCACCCTAATAAGTTAAAAATATTTTTTGACGCACAATACGCGATTCTCTGTCTCAATCTATTCTTTAACAGGCGCGTAATAATTTAAAACAAAACACTACCGGTTATTCTACTAGTTATCGTTTTTGCTCCTTTGTGTTATAGCAACAAAAAAGAAACAGTAATAATACATAATATCAGGAGCAAATCACTGCCAGAGAAAGGTGTTTCAAATTAGTGATTTCAAACATTAGTCATGTTCAAAATGACTGTAGTTATTTTGCGCCATAAACGTCGCCAGTAATCTATTCAGATAGCGCCAAAAAACTGGGATAAAAACCATTATTAGGAGGCATCGACCTCGCACTTACACACATGGACTATGGTGTGTTAGCCGGGCGTCGGAACTCACGACTCGTCAGCGGTTTTTTTGCTGATATTAGTTTAGATCAGCGCGGGAGTACGAAGCAAGCTATACTACAGCGTTTGATCGAAGAACTAACTACTGTCGCTTATTTTCTAGCTTAAGAAACGGAAAATATTATCCTTTCAACTAATTGCAAATACAATCAGGAATTATTAAAAAAAAACGAAAGCACTAAAAAATAACCTCCACTAGATGTCGGTAAATTCCGTTCCTTTTAACTAACATATTAAAAAACTGAAATTTGTAAAGTTCGAAACTTAGTTAACAATACAAATACGAAAAGTACAAATAGAATATGAGTTGTTTATTGAGTTTTGAAAACTAAACGGTTGTCATGGAGAAATCAAGAACGTACCTTAGCGACAACTAGTTTGATTTGGGCAACTAATGTTTTTTTTTTAATACTTCCCCATTGTAAATTTGTGAAGATGTATGTATGTTTATTACTCTTTCACACAAAAAC